ATTTAGCCACAAATCAATGGCCACATGGGATTTTTTAGGAGAGAACACTTCTTCGCTTGACCCCTGTGAAAGCAATTTCGTTATGGGCTATTCTGTTGTCGGCCAATCAATCATTTATCTCTGGCTCCACAAGAATTCTTAACTGGCATCTCGAGCCTCATATACAATATATATAGCATCTTCTTTGCTGTCTGCGAAAGTATCAAATGTTTTTGTCCAGCATCCCGCTTCATTAGCTTGATGGCAACTTTCATGTAGTTTCTGGTTACATAATGAATCCATTAAGAGTGCCAAAAATACTTTCTAGCTAAAAACAAAATAACACCGGAGACGAAAACAAACTCATCATGTCTGACCTTAACAGCCAAATTGGTCAAATGAATTTGCAAGTTTAGAGGCGGGAAAATTATGCAAAAACAAGCTACTACAGATGCTGTTTGGGTTTACTACAAAGCTCATAGCTTTTCAGCTAATATTTGAAGTCTCGTGACGCACTTGCTGCAGTTTGAACCCGGCTCGAACAATGCAATCAGTAATCAGCGACTGGGTTTAACGAACTGCCAACTATTTGCACTCCAGAGTCTCGTCTCGAACACTCTGAAATAGCTGCTAACGACCTCTTGACAACACAGAGTGGGGATGCCTCCTCCCGGCCCCCATCTCCATCTCCATGTCCATGTCTAGGCCCAGGTGCAATTGCATTAGAATCATTTGCATTCGCCGATTCAATTAATATGCAACTAGCGTTCACTCACCGCGCTCAAAGCGATTGTCATCATCAAAATTCTTTATTGATTGCCCAGCGTCGTGTCGCGTTGCTGCTCTTTCCCCTCGTAAAACTACAAAATAATAATTCATGACGCTCGCTGACTTTCATTCATAAAGTCCGACGGTAGTTGTCGGTAGTTGAATATGCAGCGAATGTTGTCATTAAAATATGCATATATTTCCCTGCCTAGCCCCCAGTCGGAGGAAAGTTCTGTAGAAAGTTTCATGAAACGAGTTTTCCGCTTGTCAATCATAAAACATGTACTGACGACCCATCGGTGATTAATGGTGGGGAAAATTCCTCCACACTAAAGTAACTAGTTTACTAAATATATTTATACATTTTTTAAGTTTTAAATAAGTGAGAGCTATGAGTATTCTTTTAGGGTGTTAAGATGTTTCAAACAACATTTGTCTAGAAACATTTTCCTACGCAGTTTTCTAAACAAGTCAACGTACGTAGGTTACTAAATTAGAATTCAAAAACTATTTTAATAAACCACAAAGCAGTCTATGAATCATTCTTATCAATTAAATATTCACATATATACTTTTAGCCTACATGATAAATAAAACTAACCATCTACGAGAATCAGTGACTTTAAGCAAATGGCGTCATCTTTTCGGAATAATACCCAGAGTGTGTGTGGGCCGAGAGTCAATGTCATCGGTTAAACACAAAAAATCTGAGAAAAAGAAGCCACCTTTGTTGTGGGAATTAAAGACACTAATAAAGTTGGCAGGCACTATAATGATTATTGAACTCTATAATAAGTAAACAAACCGATTTATTATTGTTATTATTATTTTCAACACATATTTTTCCAAAACCAAATATTTGCACCGAAAATTATTGTATATTTTGCTTTCAAATCCGATTCGCCGGCTAAATGTCAATCGGGCAGAGGCGAGTTATTGAACCCAACGGATCGAATATATATATATAAGCGGAAAATGTCTGCTTATAATTGAATATCAATTCGAATTGTGGACAATTGTGAAAGTTCAACGAATCTGAAATTTAAATCCGAGTTCGATTGGCATTCGCATTGAACTTGGCTGGATGGTATTAAGAAATAATCATCAATTGGCCGTATTTAAATGATTTGTAATAGCTTAAAGTCAGGTCTTGCCCTGGCTGCTGCCGATTTATTTTATTTTATTTGATGTGATTTTTTTTTGTGAAAGTTGCTGCACATTGCTGCGTGTGCGAAGAGGGAAAAATGTATTATTTTCAAGCGAAAAGTGAATGCTGATGGCTGAAAAATTTGCCAGACATTGCCGGCCTAATGGATGCTCAAAAATTTTCCCAATTCCTGAGGCTCGCGCCGAAACGTTAACTGTAAAAGATCAGGGAAATTGCTATCATGCAGCCAAATCAGCAAAGTCAACACGCACACACACACACACAGCAACTGTTAAAGGGGAAAAATAATAATAATAATAATAACACACAGACATGATGACTTTATTTTATGGCATCAAGTGGCATCCACCGTTCCGTTCTGTTTACCAAAAGTCCAGCAACGAAAACAGGCTATCCGCAGGCTGTGAGTGTGCAGGATATTCGAGCACCACTTGGCCACCACTCGACTTGGCCCGGCCTCCGCCAGCTGCAGCATCGGCTCATCGCTGTGGGCCGTTAATTGTCCATCGCATAAAGGAACTTAACTCAGCCTCTTCTTGATCTGTCAGCGTTATTTGGCCAGAATTGTTCCGAGAACACAGACTCAGAACGAGGGAGAGATGCCGTTTAAGTGTTTTAATTTGACGTGGCCCATAAAAGAATGCCTTGTAATTGCTGCTTTCTTTTGCTTATATTTTATACCACTTTTTATTCGGTAATTGGTTAAAGGAGTATTCGCATGAAAAATGCATTCCTCGATGGAGGAGTGTCTCATTAAAATGTTGCTTTATTTCATTAAGAAGAGTTGGGTTTTTAAAGATTTTTAAAGAGGAAAATGTGATCTTTATTCCTATATGTAAATGGATCCTATTTAAAATATACTTCAAGACATTACACTTCTGAAACCTTTTAAAATAATTTATTCTGCGTCATTTTTTGCCTCTAAAAAATTACAATCTATTGTCTTAGCTTCTTCCTTTTTCAAGAACTGCTTCCTCTGTTAACCCTAACCTTTATTCATAAAAATAAAATTGCACCTAAAACTACATGGTAGACAGACATATCCGTGAGGATCATACAGTTAATCTCTTAAACCATAAATGACACTCAGAATGCAATTCACGTAATTACTCGCCTCGAAAGCCAAACTAGAACACGTCTGTTCAATGTACGTGCCCAGCCTGAAGAGCTCTTGTCCGGACTATATACACTATATATATGTTCTATATAGCAGCAGTGATTTCTGGGCTTGCTTTTTTGTGTCGCAGACAGTGGCCCTTTGTTGGCCATAAATAACAATACTTTAGACACCACGACAGATGTGTGTATATTTACACAAAAGAAAATGCAGCTCAATAAACTGACAGATACTGAGAGACACCAGAGACTTGTACAATTTAACGGCTTTTGTTGCATAAATCGGGCTGCAGCAGCGACAACATTTGTTATGCGATTGCAATCTGCAAGATACATATATACATTTGTAGCTGGCTAAAAAACAAACAAAAAAATGGCGTCGATCGTTGACAATATTGTCGGCATTTCCAGCCAAGATTGTGCAAAAGGCGATGAATATTTATGGCCAGCCCTTGCAGCATCCAAACAGATGGATTGAGATTCCGGCAGTCAGTCAGTCAGTCAGTCAGCCAATATAGCTGTCGATCAGTCATTCATTCGCACAGTTTTAGCAAAAAGAAAGCAGAAACACCAAACAAAAAAGACCCCACAATTATAGAGACTAATAACGAAGACAGCTAAAAAATGTGTGTGTGACAACAGGTTAGCGAACCTCGCACATTTGCATGGAGAAAGAGCCCAGCGGCAGGGCTCAGAGGGAGAGAAAGATTACTTTCTTGCCGCTACACGCTTCGGAAACCCCTGAAAGCCCCACAAGTCCCCGATTCCCCGATCCCCCCATAGATGCTTATTATGCAACCAACGTTTTTTTCATCAACTTGACAAACCGAGCCGTGAAAAAACAAAAGACTTCAATCGAAATACTCTAACAGCTGAGGGGTAAATACGTTTAAAAAGCGTTAAGAGTTTAAAACAATAGAAAGCTAATGAATATATAAGCTATACACGAAAATAAAAGGAATATGTGTATACTGTGTGTTATTATTATAAATATATCATTATATATCGCTTTATAAATATTTGTAGGTAAAGAAACCTAAAGTAAACAGAAATAATATCAAAATATGCATAGTTCCGTCTATTATTGTTATTATTTTTAAGTAAACACAACTAAATTATCAAGAAATTGTAGTCTAAACTCATAATTTCTTACTTTATAATAGTAACATAACTATAACCGATTATAATGATCAGCGTATCACTTACAACCGCTGAATAGATTGACACCTTGGGTATCATATTTCACAAAAAAGGGTATTCCACACCTCAACCTTTTGCTGTTATTTCCCCCCACTTTAACTTACAGGTGATTTCTTCATTATTTACTTTTATTGTGCCCGTTGTCAACGTGTCTTGGATGGTATCTCTCACGGGGTCTGTCTGAATCACAGTCTAAATACCTTCGGCGGGATCTCGATTCCCCCATCTGCGATGCGTAGCTCGCACAACCTGATCATCATAACAAGCAATATCAATAAAAATTGCATGTTTTACATATAAAAGAACACAAGTTCTTGAGGTTTTGCCAGATACATAGAGACCAGAGCATGGGGAATACAGGAAGGCAGATTGCATTGATTTTACGCATTTTAAGGTCTCTCTGCAGGCGGGATGACTGGTAAAAAAACATAAGTGGAGTCCAGGTCATAAACAATAAGTATCCCAGGGAAATATAAGAAAAAGGTGCGTTGAACTCGACACCAGGGATGCCATAATAATATTTACTTTGCAACTTTTTTTTTGGGGTTTGGATTTGGGGTTTTGGGCTTTTTTTCCGGCATCGCCGCCTGTCAGCACAACAAAGTGTGTGTAGAGTTTTGATGTGTTTGCTGTTCTTTCACCGTTATGCGGCGGCCCGGCCTCAGATCTCCCTGAATATATACCATCTGTATATATATATGTATCTGTAATATTAAGTATTTGGTTTATTAACGCGAATATTCACACATCTCAATGGATTTTTTTGCAGAGGACAGAGACCCCAGAGAACAGCACACAAGATGGTGTCACGCCGAAAAATTCTATCACGTTCCCGCGACGATCTTAATCTTGACCAGACATTTACCCAGCAGGAGGAGGAGGAGGATGTCTGGTATCAGAAGGATAAACTATACAAGGTGAGTCTAAGCTACAAGAAGTTCTAGGTAATAATATGAAATAAATTCCTTTTTCTTGAAGAGTAATGATTCATTGTTTCCGTTTAAACTACTTGAAATTAGTATCTTTGCTTTAATATCTCATAAATAGTATTTTAAGATCTCATAAATAACTCATTATTTTAACTAAGTTGGCTACACTAACTTCTACTTGATTAATAACTTATAATTGTTGTATCATTATGAGCAATTATTAACTATAATACCTTTATAATCTTTGTGGTTAGTATCAAACCAAGAAAAAAATACCCTCCTTATGGCCACAAATCATATTAATGCTCATATTAAAATCGAATTACTTAACTAATATCTTAATAACTTGATTAATTAGTTTAGATAAATGATTTTTTAACTAAAACATAAACTGCAGCTGAATAGAGAGCTGGCAAAGTGGAGAACCGACGGCCCTGGCCCATCGACCATCGCCTGCTGACTTCCGCTCGAGGCTTGAGGCTTCTCAGACTTCTCAGACTTTTCAGACTTCTCCGACTTCTTCTGAGACTCCTCCGACTTCCCCTGGCTCTCGTCTTCTATGATTTGTGGCCATTTTCCTGTCGCTCATTCTCAGCACGTGCGGTGTGTGGAGTCCACCGCATTGGGGTCAGCATGAGACGCACTAACGCCGAGGCTTTGGCTTTTGTTTTTTAGGTTTTAGGTTTTAGGTTTTTTTTTTTTGTTTCTGGTGTTTGTTGTATTGACCAATTGCATTAATTACCGTTAGGCCATCGCATTGCGTTGTGCTTTTTAATTTGCCTAAGGGGCCCAACTACTAGCCACTAAAAAAACAACAAAAAGCAGTAGAGAAGAGGGCCAAAAGCGTACGCCATACGCCGTGCCAATGGCCAAAAAGGCAGTAATGGCAGCAAGCACTAGGCCATAAAAGCGTTATGGGTTACCCTAATGTTTGGACAAGCCCAGCACGAGCTCTTCGCTGCCTGTGGCTCGTTTCGATCGGATTTCGCTAGCCCATCTTCGATTACAATACAATATACTATATAGCATAGTATATAATACATATGCGCCTTGTTTATGTGTGGGAATTCCATTGAAGATGCTGCCAACCCTTTTGGTTTTTGGCTTTTTATGAAGGCGTGCTGGTGCGAGCCAAATATCTAACAGTTTCGGTTGGGTGTGTATGAGTTTTGATAGGTTTTTTGCTTTTTTGGACGTAAAATATAATGCAAGTCAGCTGCGTTGGCCTGCGAGCTCTTTTAACTGTAGTTTTAGGGTAATTTTAACCTTTGAACTGTGTGGAGCGGTTAGTTTTTTTTTTGGGTATGGTTGGTTTTGGGTATACTTAAGTACACACATTGGTGTTTCAGTTAAGACACTGTAAGGAAAAGTCTAGAGGCTATATTTAAGGTGAAAATAGATGTGGAAATAGTTTAAGGAGAGCATGAAATGTTAATAAAAGTTTTAAGAGAAGTTTAAGCATTTTAAATATTCAAATATTCAAATATTTTATAGCAGCTTATGCCTTTTAGAATGTACACAAATATGTATCGTAATTAGTTTTACATTTGTTATGTATTTATCTATTTTAGGGATTGCTTTGATTGCTTTGATTTCCTTAAGCTTCAAAAATCTGTTAGCTTTATTTTCGAACTTTTAAAAGCCATGTTACCCAAGTCTCTTGACCATTTTAATTCATTTTTGGCAAGCTGCCCACACACACACACACAACTGGGTTAACTGCAGCCCATTCGGCCGCCAGAGGCGGCCAAGAAAGAGCCATCAAACGTTGGCCATTAAATTGATGCCTTATTTCTAATGGAGATTTGCATAAATTGTGTTCACATCAGCGATTCAGCGATTCAAAGGCCTCGCCCAAAGTGAAAAGCGTGCAACGGCAGTGGCAGCAACAACAAGTCTCTCTTTCCGTCTTTGGGTATGTTGCAATTAGCGTGAGCGTGGCATCTATATAATTCCGTTTAGTCTGGGCTTCACACAAAGGCGTCCACAGAAAAAAAAAAAAACTGTATTTCCCATGATGGAAACGGCAACAAATTATGTCTGAATTTTCCTTTTGTCGTTTGTCGTTTGAGGAGGTCGGGGAATTGTATCTCCCTCGGTTTTTTTTTTTCTTCTAGCCCTTTTGATTTCGACTTGTTTGGCTGCTGGGGGCGCTTATTGGGCAATTTCAGTTGTTTGCTGCTGCTCTATGTGGCTGCCGTTGTGCTATTTTCAATATTGTTTACAAATTTATTATCTGGGAACGGAATGGAGAGCAACTATAGCAAAATGCTAGCAACAAAAAATTGACATCAAAACAAAAGACTTAGGCAACGAACTTGCATGCATCGAACTAGAATATTGGCGCAACGGAAAAGCGAGTCAAATGAAAACGACAACTTTTCACAGTCGCTTTTCGTGAAAATGAAAGTTTTGCTGGCTGGTTTTCGCTTTTCTTTCCACTTCCATGCACACACAGCACAGCACAGCACAGGCTTTTCCTCTCCAGCCTTCTTTCGCTCTTTCCTTTGTTTTCCTTCTCCCCGGGATTGGTTTTTCTTATTTATTTTTGTCTCTTGCAAACGGCTGTTTTGGCACCCGTTCACCTGGTTTCGGTTTCGCTTTTGGCCCGGCCCGAGCAACAGGATTTGGCGTTGGCGCGAAATAAGCAGGAAAAACCACTAAAACGAGACAGACACACACATCTTAGGGAGTGTGTGTAAGCCCAAAAATTATACGACAAATTCAATGGAAATTTTCCCCTTTTTTTACTCGCTGCATTGCTACCACTTCATCAATGTCTAGGATCAATTGAATTTCCTGCTCACATCTTGATTGATTTACCATTTGGCGGAAGAGCTGTATGCTGTATGCTGTGCCCTGGGCTATTATTATTATCATCAACATCATCATCATATAGTATGTGAGGCCCATTGAAAACTCAACTATGTGAGCATGAAATTTGCATAAATTATAAAGACCTAGGCTCCTGGGGAAGGGGAGCATTCGATCTGGGTTAGCCAAACAAATTGAAAATGAACATATCAATGAACTTTGGACATCTGTGTGACGCTGCTGCTGCTGCAACCTGTCACAAGTTGGACTTATCAAGACCGTAATAATTCGCGGCGATTGTATCTATTAGTCTTGGCAGACACAAAGCGACTCGCCGCCGCCGACGCCGCCGGATCCCAAATAAAAATCATTTTATTAAATGTCAACTCTGAGCGTTGGGAGCATCTGTTGCAGCGTTTGTTCCTTGGGTAGTAAAGTGAAGTGGAGCTCGGCCCGGAATCGTGAATGCAAAAGTTCAACAACATTTTACACGAAAAAGCGCAGAGCTGCAGATGATTCTGTGCCGCACATCTTCGGCGAGGTGCACGTGTTGCAAGCTCCATTAGGGGGATATCTTGCAACAGAATAATAGACTTTAATTGCGCCCACAGAACTGCGGTTTCTCTGACGTCACACGACCGTCTGGGTCGCATTTTTGTGGCCAAAAAAAATCCAATCCAAGATCCGTATATTTCATGTTTCTGATTTAATGTTGTTCATATGCTAATGGCTACTTCACAAAACCCGTTCCGAAACTCGTTCGAATTGTGAGCTAATTTCCATGCACAAATCAGATTACGTATACGCCGGGGAGAACACGCGCTTGTGGTGTGGCTGCCACAGCTCGTAACTTCTGTTGCAACTCGGGGACTAATTAAAAGTTAGCTGCAGAAACCACCGAATTAAGAAACGAAAACCCAACTTAAACACGGTGAACTTCGGCATTTTGAGGTCGTCTCTGCACGGCCTAGAAATATGAGATGAGAAGCAGCCACAACAAGTTGTAACCAGTTTGTCGACACTTGAGCCTACAAGATTCTTCTGCCGGCCAAGTGAAACCTGAAGTGAATCTGCCCAAAGAATCCGAATACGCTTGGCTCTCCAACATTTGGAATGAAATCAAAAGTGCTTCCAACTCCCAGACTCTCGATCTCTCACAAAGCCCGCGAGTGCGCAAACGCAAAGGCAGAGCATCTGAAAAGGTTAACAAGTTTTACTACATGATTTATTTGCATTTTTAATGTGTGTGCCTGCCTGCCTGATCATGAGGCTGCCTCTGATGCTGATTTTGAATGAGTGAGCTCTGTGAGCTGCTGCCTAGACGAGTTTTGCCCAAAATCGCTGGTAGAATTGTGGCCAAAAACCAAAAGCTAAGCCAACATTTTTGATGCCTGCTTGCTCTTTGTTGTTCATATTTCTTGTAGTTTTTTTTGTAATTGTTGTATTTTTCATATTTCTTATTTTTATTATAACCCAAAAACAAAAAAAGTGGCTGAAATTGTGGGCATGTTGGTTACTGGGCTAATGGCTTTGTTTATGACGTTCTTTGTTCGGGTTAATTGAGCCAGCACAACGGTGCTCAAGAAGGGGAAAATGGCCCAGCTGTTGAGTTTTTGGTGGTTTTCTTTGAATATTCATATGTGTATGTATGCAAGGGAGCATACACTACGTTTCGGCAGTGTAAACTGAACTGAGGTCATAAATAAAAACAATGCCAAGAAGATTTTAATTTGATTTATAAGCAAGCAAACTGCAAGCTATAAATATATGTTGCCTCTACAATTTCCAGTCTATATTAGAAGTTAAGGTGCTCCCTCATACAGATAATGTACGAGATTAAGTATTAAAAAGGAGTAAAAAGTATATATTTTCCCTAAAAAAAGAATAATAATATAGGGATTCCCTTAAGAGATAGTACAAGTAAAGACTTTTCGTACTTTTAAAAGTACAACCATTTTTACCAAGCATCTCCTAGCTTCTCCCTTACTTTTTAATACATAACTCCCCCATTAAAATGCTGTCTTGATAATCGATTAATAACCCTGGAATTCAGTTACTAAAATCGCATATGTTTTGCACTTAGTGCAAGCCGGTTTATATAAGTCAGAAATGTAAAATATTTTCAGAGTGCACTTGGGCATGACGCAAGCTGCGAGGCAGAGCAGGGCGAGTTGCAATCAAAAAGCCTTGCAGCACTTCAAATATCCAAGCACATTGCTTTATGCAGTGCATATTGTGTTGTGGCCATAAAAGAGACTTCAAGCAGAGCAGAGCACAAATGCGAGATATCGTTGTCTATAATTTTATATGTCTTACTGCACCACGAGTCGCGGGCTAAGGCCTGGTCTTTCTATGGGCTGTGAGCTCTGTGTTCGTGTCAGCATTTGCTCCGATTTGATTTTAACTTTTATTTAACAAACTGCAAGACACAGCACAAGCACACAGGCTCCGAACGCAAACACAGACTGACGCTTGTAATGGCCACAAAAAGCACCAACAGAAATAAGTAAAAGTAAAATGAGTGAAAAAATAAAACAGATACAAAATAAAATAAAAAACTTAAAACGCAAGCAAGCGCCCAACAAGGCCGTTCACTTTGGCACAAACACACACAGAAAACGAGATACAGACATGGACTTAGACTTGGTCGACTTGGAGAGTGATCACGATGGAAAGTGAAAATTGCTGGCATTAGCCGTGGTTCAGTCGTTATGTTTTTCTTTCGCCTTTTTTCCAGATGCCCCCAAAACAAGTTACGAATCTCATAGGATCAAATCGATTGATTTTCGGCGAATTTCTGCACATTTTTGTGCCCGACTTAATGGGTTTTGGAAAGGATCGTTAGGTTAGTTAGGCAACTGCTAATGATAGGATCACCGATCGGAAATCTATATAACTTTCATTTAAAACAAGAACAGAAACTCAATTTGGGAAGCCGAAGCTTATATACGCTTGGACCAAATCGGAAATATTCGATATTTCGATATTTCCAAAAGTCAAACTTTGAAAACTTCATAACTAAGTTAAAAAATCATTAATTTCAATTCGGATAACTTTCCTATGTTAGTTTTTTTAAGGTTAAAAAATCTGCATACTGAATTTAATATTTTAGAAAATCAAAATTTTTATCAATTTTTGACAATTTTAACGATGTAACCCCTTATAAGATTTTCAAAAAAATTGAAAAAATTTTATTTTTTCCTGTGATGGCTAGATTGATTCAACTTTCAATGCTGATCATTAATATATATGAAACATAGGGTCGGAAAAGACTGCTTCACAAGTTACAAGCTTCTAACTAAAATTATAATACCCCGCAAGAGTATAAAAATATTCTTTGAATTAAGAAAACTCTAACATACATGGCGTATACTTAATGTGAAAACACTAAAATTAAGTATACGCCATGTGTGTTTTAAGAAAGAATAGTTTACAGATTTATAAAAATAAGTAGATCTAGTCAAAAATCAGGGTGAGCAATTAAATTATAAGATCGAATCGGAAATCGATCATAACTAAGTAAATTTTAAATGCCAATATTTTCGACAAATCAAAGTTTAAAAAACTCATAACTAAGTCAAAAAAGCATTAATTTCAAATCAGAAAGCTTTCCTATGTTAGTTTTGATAAGGCCAATAAATTTGCATACTCCATTTAATATTAAATTTTTGGTCAATTTTTGACAAATTTAACGATGTCACTCACCCTTTATAAAATTTTCAAAAAATTAAAAAGAAAAAATTTCTTTTGGAGAAGCTCCTTAGAATCAGTTTTTGATACTGATCAAGAATATATATGAAACATAGGGTCGGAAATGACTCCTTCACATATTTACAAGCTTGTGACTAAAATTAGAATACCCTGAAATGGTATAAATATAGTTATGTTTTCGTATCTATCCAAACTTGAAACCATTTAAATTGAATTCTAATAAACTCTCTTTTCCCATCTTTCAGGAACATATTCAGGAAGTGCTGGACAAATGGACCCAAATCGACGATGAGATCTGGGCCAAAGTGATCGTCTTCGAGCGGAATCGGCGCGTGGCAAAGGCATATGCACGTGCTCCGGTGCTGACCATTAACGGATCCGATGATGGCTTCGACGGCATGCGGTAAGTCGTCATCCCAATCCCTTGAACCAACCCTTGGCCATCCATAATTACCGGTAACTACTTGCTCAGCAAAAGGCAAATAAACAAACAGAGTGGCGCTGAGGCAGCAAAAGCCCAGCAAAACACATTAAACACGGGCAAACAAAGTGCCTTTGAACTTTGCTAAAACAAAGCACAACAAAATGAGACACCAACAAAAAAAAAGCATAAATATTAATGTATGTTCGACTATGAGCACTGGCAAAATGATATGGCCTTGACCCACTGGCAAAGAAAATCCCCCAGCAGGAGCTTCACTCTTTCTTACTTGGCAGATGATAAATCACTGAGGGTTTTAGTTTTATGATGGACTGTTTGTTTATGGCTACTTGGAGTTATAGAAAGATTTATTTTGATTTAAGAAGAATTGATTTTAAGAGGGTTTTAACTTCTGAACCAAACACAACCTAAAGAGTATTCCCTTTGTATAATATATATACTACACTGCCTTCCCCTGACAAGTGTATTACCAACTTCGATGCGAATGAGGCAAATGCTTAGTAACCTTCACTAAAGTCTTGGCCTTTTTTGCTGTAATAATAAATGCCTGCTGATGTGCTCTCGAATGGGCAATGAATGAAACGCCCATCAAATTGATGGGCATCCCATTAAAATTTAATTCCCCCGCTGAACTTCGCTACGCAAGAGGCCTGTAAGTGGAGGAGAACCTTGGAGAACCTTGCAAAATGCGCTGACCTTACCGCGCGGGGGAAACAATTTGTGGCATGTGAAAAGCTGCGGGTCAGGTAACGAAAAAAGAAAAAAAGAACAGACTCTGCTGCCGAAAAGCGAGTGAAAATGCTTTAATAATTGCTCGGTACTCCTCGCTCGCTTATTTCTATGAAATGAGCGATTTCCGTTGTGCCAAAGCAATTTGAGTCAAGAATTCGGCTTGGGTTTTTTATTTTTTCGTGGCTTGTGTTTTTTTTTTGGAGGTCTCTCGAACGGTTCTTGGTATCTGCAATTGCAGCGAATGAGGGCCTAATTAACATATTCCGCCTCAAAAATATTGCTGTTGCGTGCCAGAAATTGGCAAATGCCAAATGCTTTACGCTTTACGCTCAATTGCTGTGGCAATTTCGGCGATTCGCCCCGAAATGTCAAGAAGTTTTCCGAGCAATTCAATGGTTTGGATCTATGCATAATGCATTAGGCTAAGTACGATGCCGGCATGTGCTGATTATTCAGTACAAATATCGGAATATATCAATTGAAAACCCAGGGCCACGAATTGAGGAGGCTGTGGCCCAAAAAGGGCATCAAGTGCAGGAGGAGATCACGGCAAGCGACGGCTTCCTTTTGTAAATGGCCACAAATAAAGTTGCTGCCAGCGAAATGTCAACGGCGAAAACACAAATAAATTGCCAAAGGGGCCAAAGACAATGAAGATGGCAAGAAAGAGAGAGATGGAGTGGAAAACAAATGAAATTGAAAATAATAACGAAAGTCATTCAATTCATTCAATTCGTTTTCGTTCGTGACGAGGTCATCACAGATTGGCCATGCAAATTGCTCTTGTCATGGCATCTCTTTACCCGCTTTCCCGGACAACTACTTGTTTATGTCAACTGCGGGTTAAGTACAATCGGGGAAAACTAAGGAAAACTGAGGCTTTGGGGGGGGAGAGGAAAAGGCTTTGGAAAACTGACTTTGCATGCCGAGAGTGTCAAGTTAATCAATTGCCAATTGCCGCCGACTTCAAACATGCACCACACCACTTACCATGGCAAAGATAATTTATGGCCATGTAACCTCCTGGCTTATGCTGAATGTCTGAGTGTGTGTGTGGTCCCTAGGCCCTTGTAGTTGTCATTGCCATTGTCTTGCTAGCCTTTTTGCTGGCCTTTTTTTATCGCCATGGCTCTGTAACCGTCACCGTCTAGGGCCGGCAGCAGCTTGTTTGTTTAATTAGCCGCTGTCAGCGCTTGTTAGCCGCTGCTATCTCCCAGCCAAAGCCGTATTCCATTTGAATCGGATACATCATCGCATACCCCGTACGTGCATACTGAAAAGCCATTTCACACGCAACGCTTTTCCGTGGAAATCTTGGCCAGTATGCAAATGCAATATATGGAGCTGGCAGCTGCGATGCGAACACCGATAGGCGAACTCTAACTCTAACAATAACTATAAATTTTTGGTTGCCTTCTGACAGGCCTGACTCACTTTAGCTTTAGTCCATTATTTTCTATATGCAAAGGCATTAGTTTTACCAGCTAAGACCAGTTTAGGTGATTTTCAATTAACTGCATGACAATAAATAAAAATAAACATAAATCTAAGGCAGTCAGAGGAATTTTACTAAAGATTTGAGTTAGCTTGTTTCTTGTAAGGCTCATGAATATAGCATTAAATCATGGTAAAGTTCGTAATTCTTGAATTTTTCTAGTTATTTCATTTAGTTTTTCGGCAGTAAAATACATTTGTTTAATGCTTCCAATGCTTAAGCAATTTATTTTCCTTTTCTTTTCTATAGAAAATACGAAAATTTAAGCTCAAAAAACATAATTATTCTGTTTATTTACCTTAATTTATATCTTTAGTGTTATAGCTACTCAAGTTAACTTTTATTTCGATTCAGAGCATTCACCCATCGATCTTACCCGCATAGGTTAAGTCCCATTTTTTGTGAGTTGCATGCAATGCTTAGACAAATTTCCATTTGTGGAGTCGGCTGGCTGCATGTAAATTAATTAATTAGACTGACGCTCATGTTGCTTAGTTGTTGATGCCGCGAGTGTTGCTAATAGTGGCTGGTGTGGGCGCAACACTCTCGAGGAGGACCCCACACGCACACCTGAGCAGAAACAATGAGCCGAAGTTTTGCGAGCGGCGATCAATGATCCCCGAGACACTTTGAATTCGAACAAGCGAGTGTTTAATTAATGGCCAATCCTTGGGCCAATTTGAAATTACACCGCCTCCCCCCCTGGGGAGTCAATTGAAATGGCGCCAATATAGTTTAACTTAGTTTTTTGGCAGCTTTTATGACAGTTTGCCGTTTGGAGTTTAGGTTTTGCGAAACACTTTGTTGCGTGGGCGTTGCCAATCGAATTTGCATGTTGCTGGGAACAAATGAAATGGAAATCAAATTATAATATCAAGCTGCGCTCCAGATTGCAACACATACACGGTGTAGTTGTTGCTGCTGCCTGTTTCGTGCGGAAAAAACTAAGGCGGGTCTCACCAAGGTTGAGATTTGCGAGCAGTTTTATTATTTTCGAACGCAATTTCGCTTGGCCCCAGACAAAAGACACATTTTTTGTGTTTAGGCTTTTTTCAGGGTGCCCTGCTGTGCCTTTTAGATGCTGAGTAACCGCAGTAGTGCCCATGTTGCAAAAGCAAAAGCCACACTGTCATTGTTGCTGCTGCTGCTGCTGCTGCTGCCTGCCGCTGCACACGTGCCACATTTGTCAGGGCAAAAGAACAATGGCTGCGGCGGCCTTCGAGGCGCGATTTAAGGTGCGACCCCAAAAACTGGAGCGGGAAATGCTGCCTATAATTAGCCATAATCTAATTAGAGCCAAATCAAGCCAAACAAGTTCGTTTCCTAAGTCTTTTGTCTCTGCGTTCGTTTCTTAAGTCTTTTGCCTGGCAACTTTTACTAAAGCCAATAAAATATATACCCTGTATATATATATATATATCTTGACTATGGTATTTTTAAACTGAACCGGTCGCACATAGTGCCTTTTTTTGCCTTGCCTTAACCAGTGGACGGACGCAGGTCAAAAGTTGCTCCCAACCACCGTTCCGAAACCAGTTGCCGTTAACTGCAACTTTTTTAGTTACTTATTTTTATTTTTGTATGGATGCAACTGTTGATGATGCCTGCCTTGCGATGGCTTCCTCGAAGAGGCCCCGGACTCGTCCTCGCAAGTGCAACATCGCCCGAACTGACCCACTGCACACGTTTAACTTGAACTCCAAAATTGCCGCAGATTCCAGTTTGTCAAGCGGAGCGAGTTGGTTGGACCGACTCTCGCTTTCTGGTTGCTGGGCCCCCAATGCCTTTCGCATTTCCAGCTCATTTAGGCGTGTCAGACCGAGTCCAGTCCTGAGACCAGACGACCTTGCAACCGCTACACTATATGGTATATATATGTATGTATATATAGATATCATGCATAACTGCGATAATGTTGGCCACAAGCAAAGTGAATGTGCACAAGACATGCTCTGAATAAGTATGTTTCAAGCTGTCAGTGGGTTGGGCACTTGGTTTATTCTTGATTTAAGTTAAATAACTTGAATCGATAGAGCTACAGAGTTGGCTAGTTAAGGGTACTTTATTAGGTTATTTCAGGGGGGTATACTCTTTTAAATCACAATAAGAACTTAATAGAGACCAAGAACCCTTCCATATGACCTTAATAGCAAAAACCAATAAAGGAAACTTCACCTCTTGGCTCTGCCTGCCACCCAACAGGTCCCAGCTGCTGGCATTCAGCCTTTTAATAACATTTCGCTTTTTGATGGCTCGAATTTAACGAAGCATTTACCGAACAAAGAACTGCAAATCCGCTTTCGGCTGCCAGCGGCAACAACCTTGAGAGCCACACATCAGCCCCCGTCCATGTCGATTTCATTTCATGGAAAACTTTGACACACATTTCAACGGTTTTTACAAGCATTTAGCCAATAAATCAGCGCCAGAGCGGCAGACGTTACGCGCAGAACTGAAGCACATGGCCAAATGCCAAAGCGATGCTAACGGCTGGCGATTGTTTGGCAGTGGCTCTTCATAGTTAGTAGAAGGTACTAGCCAGTGCTGCCTGTTGTTCTGGTTCTCGCTGCCGGCAGAGCTTCATTATACAAATTAACATAAAACATAATAGTGACAGAGCGGCGTCAGGTGAGCGCTGGGCAGGGGAAATCGGCTGCTGCATCGGACAGGAGCAGCACAGATAACGAAAAGCTGCCAGCAAATAGCAAATACACTTGGAGAAAATATTGGGGTTTTCAATTCTACTTCAATTAATAGGTATAGAGAATAAAATCCTTACAAACCACATTACAAAGCAAAGGAAAAATGTCTTACAATTTTAGATAATGAACGGGAAATGAAGCTACGATTTACCTTTAGAAATTGTAGTCTTATATTGGTTATTAATCACTGCTTCTTTTACTAAATTCTTTTTCGAGTGTATCATCTTCTTCGCTGCAGCAGCTTCTTGCCGTGGCCTTTTATGCAAACGACAATTACAATTAGCTTGGCTTCATTGTCTTGGCTTGGCTGCGGCTTCCTCTTGCCGCTTCTTGTTAGCATTTCTGCCGACATTTTCGGCGACCTTAGCAGCGAAGGAAAAACCAAACCAAAAAATCAAAACAACCGAGAGTGAAGGCAAGAAACAAAAGTGAAACAAACTAAACAAAAAAAAATACAAACATTTATCATTCAGTTAAGGTGCAGAGCCGCTGCAGCCCCACTGGTTTGTTTAAGCCCAACTTTATATAGTCAGATTTATTATTAGCTTAGGCTATAAAACTTTTTTGGGAAATGAAAAATGTGTGTGTCCTTATCCTGATTACTAATCACTGTAAAGATTGAGTGAGGTAATTTGAATCGCAAGAAATTTAAGATAATTGGTTGATTAATAGGGTTTCCTTTTATGAAAAAGGTATTTTTTATAAAAATAAGAACTATATTTGGTTGGTCTTTAAATTATTAAGAATTAGTTAAAGTCAAAGGAAGGATACTAAGTTCGGGATGCCGAAATCCTTGCAAATCAGATTTTAAAAAACTCATAACTAAGCCAAAAAAGCATTAATTTTCATTCGGAAAGCGTTGCCATGTAAGTTTTTCTTAGGTTAATAAATCTGCATACTCAGTTTAAATTTTAATAAAATTAAAAATTTTTCAATTTTTTTTTACAATTTTAACGATGTAACCCCTATAAAATTTGGAAAATAATTTAAAAAAAAAAATTTTCTTCCGGAGCCATCTAAAAATAATCGGCTGTTTATGCTGATCAAGAATATATATGATTTATAGGGTCAAAAATGATTCCTTCATAGCGTTACAAGCTTCTGACTGAAATTATAATACCCAGGAAGGGTTTAAAAATAGTTTCTGATTTTAAAAAAATATAGCAAACACGGCGTATACTTAACGCGAAAACACTTAAATTAAGTATACGCCATGTATGTCTTGGGGGAGAATAGTTAGAAGATTTATAAAGATAAGTAGATCTGGTTAAAAAGCAGGCTTAGCAAATGAATTATAAGATCGAATCGGAACTCGATTATAACTAAGCTTCAAATGCAAATTTTTTCGCCAAACCAAAGTTGAAAAAACGCATAACTTAGTCAAAAAAGCATTAATTTCAAATCGGAAAGCTGTCCTTTGTTAGTTTTGATTAGGGTAATAAATCTGCATACTATATTTAAAATCTATAAATCTATCTACTTTTTTGACAATTTTAACGATGTAACCCCTTATAAAATTTTAAAAAATTAAAAAAAAAAATTTTTTCTCAAAACATGGCTAGATTTACTCAGCTTTTGATGCTGATCAAGAATATATATGGTTTATAGGGTCGCAAATGACTTTTTCACAACTTTACAAGCTTCTGACTGAAATTATAACACCCTACATGGTTACAGAATTTTCAGTTCAATTTGAAACATTTCCATCGATATAGTCATATTTTGTTATCCAAATGAAATCTTTGTTCTCTTATAAAAAACTCCACTCAATATCTAGTACCTTAGCTTAATTCTTACACACTAATGACTCAGCACTCTGGTTAAACAATTACATGAAAAATTAAGGCCTTGGCGCCGAAATATGACATGTTTATTTAATAAACTTTTTTGGGGCTGCAGCTGCCGCATGTGGCATAAATCACTGTCAGTGCTCATTTGAGCCAAACGATTGAACAGAGACCAAAGCCCATAGACCAAGCCAAGACCCAGACCCATGGCATAAATGTTTTGTCAAACGTTTAGTGTAACAAAATGCGGCAAAAGGGGGCCAAGAAATGTGTAGAAGTGACTCACGGCGGCAACCTCGATTCCAGAAAGTGAACGGATCTCGGCGCCGCGCCAAGTGGCAACGTTTTTTTGGCAACACATTTCGATTTTGCTGGTTGCTCGATCCTATAATGCGGCAGCTGATTGATTTGCAATTAATAAAATGCTCATTATGACTGAATAATCCCTAATGATTTCCCAACGCCACCATTCCACTTTGTTTTGCAGAATTGGGCTGTGCGGCTTCGACAATCCAATGAGGGACCGGAAGACGGACGAGCTGAAGCGCGTCATCGGGCAGGTAAGTTTCACGGGTTCGAATTTATGGGACAATCAAAGCGACAACGGTTTAATTAGCTTGGACAATAAACCCCGAAAATTGACGAGAAATCTCCATTAGCAGGAGGAGATGGTGTGAAGATTAAGCGCCACTTCAAGCTTTTCTCTAATGTGTACATATAAAAATCAAAAACTTTAATTAAATCTTGGTCTGTAGCTGATTTCAGCTCTTGAAAAGAAAGATATTTCGCAGAAGACATCTGAATTTACATCTTAAATAAATTAAATATGTTCCTTACAGATCTCACTTTATTTATTCTAATATTTCTCTTTCTAAAAGGGTGTCAAAATCAAGATGGACGATGCTGGCAACATACTCGTCCGGCGGTACGCCAAGAGCAATGTCTATGTGAAGAGCACCGCCAGCAGTCCCAACGAGGAGACCTCCATCGGTGCCGAGATCTTAAAGCTACCCAATCAGGCGCTCGAATCCGAAAAAATAGTCAAGGTGAGTGGGTGAACCAAGAGATCTATAGCCCACATTCACATTCACATCCACAATCACATCCATTCCAAAATGCTAATAAGTACTTTACATTGTTCTCTCCACCGTTAGCTCTTCGACATGAAGAAGTTCCAATCGAATGTGAACCGCGAGCTGCAGCGTGCCTATCCGGATCGCCGGCGATTGGAGACGCAGTGCCTCTCGACGGTGGCGTTTGTCAAGTCGGAGAACGATGTCTTGGAGTGCCCCATATGGGTGCTCATTGTCAATGTGGTGGCCATGGATATGCTGAAGACCAAACTGCCGCCAGGTGGGATTAATCTCTCAAGACTTTAAAATCAAATTACCCCCAAAATAGTTTAGTTTTGTTACTAATTGGATATTCGTTTCTCAAAATGCAGTGCAACGTCCCATTGTGGACATCAAGAACCGCCCGCGTATTCCGATTCCCGACGAGGATCCCTACAGCGTGGCGGGCAATGGCAGCGGTGGCAGTTCTGGCAGCTCTGGCTTTGGCAGTGGCCACCAGGCCCAACTGCATCCTCAGCAGCAGCTGGGCAAGCACATGAATGGCAATGGAGGCGGACATGTGGCTGCCACGCGGGAACAGCTACTTCTACAGACGCAACAACTGGCCCATAAGCGCAGTGAGAAGCCTCCAAAGCTACCGCCAAGGGATAATGTCTATTCACATGATCTGATTCCAAAGGTAATGTTATATATATAATATCTCAGCAAAGTAATAGATTTACTACGATATTAGGAGTTTTAACTTGGCTAAAGTCAAATGATCTTCGTAAAAGTTTAAAGATTAAACCTGCGACACATAGGTTTAATGTTTCATTTTGTTTACACCACTCCTACACACACATATACACCTTACTTTGGAGCAGCAAGCCAAGTGTGAGGGATTGGGCAAGTGCTTCATTTGCTGGCAAAGTGTCGGAACAAATTCGGCGGCGCTAAAACACGAGTAAGACACGCCACACTGCCGGAGAAGAAGTGTGGCAACCTGTCCAGTTGGGCCCCATGGAGCTAGTTAGTCTGACTGCCCATGCTTGGTCACATGCGCAATGCGGCCACCACTTGCAAAATGCAAAAATGGGTCTCTCCTGCCCGCTGGAACACCAATGCGAAGACATTTTAGAGCCACTGAGCCACCGATCCGCTGAGCCGTTGTGCCGTTGTGCCGTTGAGCCTCACTGAACAATCGGCATTGCATTCAATTCAATCCAATAATAATATTCGAATTTCAGCAGCCACTGGCCGCAAATAACTGCAAACGAATCGCGTGTAATTAATATGCGAGGAATGCCGTTGCCGTTGCTGCCTTTCAGCTGGATTTCAGCTGCCTTTGGCTTGCTCGATTGCCAATTGGGCCCAACGACCGAGTCAGTGTCTCATGGAGAGCCAGTGCCTCACTGTGGGGCACACCTTGCGCAACTGCTGCCTTTTGGGGGGGGGGAAACTTATGATAATTCCATCCCCTGGTCTAACTACTTTCCATCTAACACCTCTTTTTATTACACTCTTATCTCTTCAGCCGGATTACGATGACATTGATCTGGAAACTCGCATCAAACTGTCGCGAGGCAAATCGGACAAGGGCAAAGATAACAAGAAATATGGTAAGAGATCAATATCATTCACTCACTCTATGTTCTAAAGACAGTTGGAACCCATCTCGATGACCCAAATTCCTTCTAAGCAGACAATTTATGGGGCACTGATATTCAGTTGAGATTTGACTTAAGTCTCTGACACTTTTTGGGAGTTGATGGTCAGAATGAATGTATAGGATAGGTATATCAAGGTGTAACCTCTTTTATAAGAAGTCAATAAACTGGTTTGAGAACCTTGTGAGTTGATCTTATCTCTGGATATTCTCTGCCACCGAATAACCAGCAAGTTTAATGACTTTTTTGGATAAAAATCACTTGAACTTAAGTTCCAACATCTTCTTGAGTACATCATTCTTAATCCTGATCCTCCGTTTCCACAGATGATCCCTACTATTGCGGCCTGAGGGCTCGAGTGCCGAACTTTGTCAAGTCCGGAAAGCCAGCCAGCGCCAAGGATCAGCGCGATGGCAATGGGAACACCATCAGCAACGGCGGCGGAGGCATGAGCACGCTCAGCCAGAAGAAGACCTCGATGATCCACAACCATCTGGCGGGCATGCATCCGCATCACATTCAGCAGCATCAGCAGCAGCAACTTATGGCCGCGGCGGCGGCTGCGCATGCGGCGCAGCATCATCAGCAGCAGCAGCACCATCAGATCTGGCAGACGCGCAGCTATGAGAGCGGCATAGGTATTTATAAACAGGGTGGGCCCAGCACCACCAACGCAATTCAGATACAACAACCACAGTCACTGCCGACGGACCTAACAGTAACAGCCACTGCCACTGCCACTGCCACAGGCAAGACACACAGCACAGCTCACAAAGCACGCAGCCACCTGCTAAAGCAGCAGCAGGCGCAGCAGAATCAGCACTTGCATCCACATCCGCACCCGTTTCCGCACGCACATCCACACCACAGACACCACCATCAACGGCATGGCCACCAATGCGAGAGGCACTCCCGAGCCCAGCAGTCGCAGCAGCCGTATTACGACAATCTAGAGGACTCGGTGGGTCACCAGGTGTCGCGACGCCTGTCCACACGACGCCCACCGCCGGCGGAGAACTCCTCGTCCTGCAACTGCGTTAGCTGCTATGCGCTGGCTCCGCTCTGTGGAGCAGTGCCACCGCCACGTCCCCAGCGGAGTCTCAGCCAGCAGCAGTTGCGACGCCACCAACGGCTCAGCGGTAGCCTGGTGGAGCCGGTGGAACTGGTGGAGCGACCTGCGGTTGTGACCAAGTGGTGCAGCGAGAGCGATGTCTCGGTGCTGGAGATGGAGCCTGCAGCTAATGAGCGATACGATGACTGTTACGAATACGATGACTTCGACCTGGACTTTGACTTGGACGACGATCTGGGTCTGACCAATCAACCGAGACGACGCCGTGGTACGGAGACGGTGGACCTGTATGTGGATCGCGCCCAACTAAGGCAACTGCAGACGCCGGCAGTGTTGCGGCACAAGTCGCAGTCTACCGAGAGCTTCTTTGAGCAACCGAACGAGGAGGGATCCCTATACATGTACGGCGGCAGGAAGCGCATTGCGGTGAAGGCGCCTTCGGCGGCCAACATCTATGACCGGGTGCGCGGCTCCACGGACTCGGACAGGGGACACGGACACCGTCCCAGGCCCAGTGGCAAGCTCAATTTGGGAGCTAGGATGCAGAGCACCAAACAGCAGCCGCTGCAGCCGCAGCCGCAGCCACAGCCACAGCTGCCAGCTCCCAGTTGGCGCGGCGGCAAGCGACAGGAGCAGGCTCAAAACGCTGACAAAAGACAAAGATATGACAATGCCACCAACATCAGCAAGCAGCACAAAAGACAGCTAACGAACGCCACGAAAGACAATGACGACATGTTGAAAAGCAAAAATTATTTCAATAGTAAAAACAAAAGTATAGCAACGGCAGCAGCGAAAGCGACAGCAGTCGCAGCAGCATCCGCAGCAAGAGGAGGAAAATCGAGGGGAGAAGGCGCTGGCGGTGGCGGTGGCGGTGGCAACCCAACAATGTCCCCAACATTGGCCGCCACCACACATGTGGCCGGCAGCCCAGCAGGACCGAACAATGCTCCGGTCAGCGGCGGACTGCCTTCGCCTCCTCCTCCTCCTCCGACAGCGGCGGCGGCCGCCACCAGACCCGGCCGCAGTGCCAGCCGCCTTGACATCAGCGACATGGAGTCCATTTATGGCTACCTGAAGCCGCGCAAGCCGCGCAGCCTCAGCCTGAAGAAAATTCAAATACTCGACTATTGAAGTCGTAAGGGGTTGCTCTAAATCGAAACGAGGTTATATGGCACAGACATCATCGCTATTAGTTATTGTGTATTTTTTTATTTGGGTTGCCCTGCCCCCCGTTTTTGGGTCGGATTGGATCCGGTTGCTGTACATACAATATACCTGCCAAACGCATAATGGTTACCTCTTCTTACTCTTACCCGGTGAACAGAACCACACTAAACTGTACGAAACCTACTAACTCGGCGCACCTTGGACTCCTTGGACAGTCACGAAAATCTAAACTTGTACATATCCAGATAAAGAGAGGGCGTCTTTTGAGCTCTAGGGTAAAGGGAAGTAATCTTTGGAAAAGCTAAAATTAATTAAATGAATTATATCGGAATTATCGTGAATATATTTAGGTAGTATACGATGTGAACGAGGAACTAAATATTTTAAAAAGCCAGATGAATAACCGTTAAATACTACAAAGAAGTTCCGAATTCTAAACAGAGTTTAAAAACAATTTCAAAGCTTCAAAACTATACCCAAGAATTGTTTATAAAATTAATTATTAAAGCTTAACTCTCCAAAGGTTACTTATCCACCCTTACTGATCGATCGACCCTTCTCACTATCATATACGCACACATATTCGAATATACCCCCTAAGATTGCCTTGCAATCGCTTTGTAACTTTGTATATCTCTATGCTTCTTGTAGACTCGGAGCTTGTTGAATCACCTTACAATCACATCTACGGACGCCATTTACCGCTGCCAACGCGCGGCTACGTGCCCACACCACGCATGTTCATCGGGGAATGGGACTGAGCCGAGCTGGAGTCGATCTGAGGCGATCACAACACACCGCACCGCAGCGCACTTGGGGCGGGCTTTTAGCCGGATTTTAAGCGGCCAAGGCACAAACACCACTTGCAGAGCTAATTTAAGTCAACCAACCAGCTTGAAATATTATTTACATTATATTAATTTAGCAAAATATTATGGTAAAATAATATTAGGCTAGGCCTAAGCTTAAGCGAACAGCAAACCGTTCTAATTAATTAGGAGGTACGACAACGACGAAGACAGAGAATATATCGCGCTTTCCCTAGCAGTTTCTGAGATTATGCACTTGCATGTTTACCCCGTTGTACCCGAGTTGTATGAGAGAAATAGCCATTACCATTACGAGTTCAGTTAGCTTTTAAGTTTTTTTGTAAATTTTTCTTTGCCAGCCCGTTTCCGGTCGAATCACAATACAGGACTGTTCGGATTTTCACTTTCACGGATTTTGTTTGGTGGTGTGAAAACTCGAACAGTCCTGATTGGTTTCCATTTGGTCGGACTGGCTGAATTTTATTTTATATCAAAATATTCTATATTGTGTATTGAGAAAAGTAATAAAATTATCTTTCAAAACAAAAACCATCAATTAATCATCTGTCTACAGATTCAAAAACAAAAAAAAACAGTTTTTCCCAGCAATTGTGTTATTATTAACTTAAGATTTAAATCGCTCGACGAGAGCCATTTCTCCATGGCATTCCCGGGATTAATCACATAAAATAATCATTGTCCCAATTCGGTGGACGCATGTGATCCGGATTTGGTCCGCGGCCTGTATTGGGGTTGAGGGGACTAAACGGATCGAAGCGAGGCACTGGCCCAGGTCCCATATCTGGCCGCGAGGGGAAATTAAACAAGTTACCAGGACCACCGCGACCCAGTGGATCCAGGTCTCCGCGGCCAATGTCCGGAAAGCCAAAAGGGCGAGGATCATAGCCGTAAGGGGTGTAGGATCTAAGGGTCGATTTAATTAGAATAAACCCTGTAATGCATTCATCGCTTCCTAAAAGTAAGCTACACTTTATCATTGTCAAGCTCAAGACGAGCTCTTGTTCTCAAATCGAGTATCATACTTTAGGGAAGTGAGTAAAATAAAGCCCTGAGGCGTAGAAACTTACCCGCCACGTCTCGGCTCGCCAATGCGTAAAGGATCTGCGCGTGGAGTAGTTGTACTCATGGTCGTCTGTGTGGTGACCTCGCGCGAGTTGCCTGTAAAGACCGGGTCTAGCAGCTCCCTGCGATATCGGTCCACAATCTCCGAAGCGGTTGGCATCAAAGCATTAATGTTGCCCTTAAAGGCGACCACCAAAGTGTCCGGGGTAAGACAGATATTGGAAACTTTCTTGGTATTTATATCCATCATGTTGACCAGCAGGGCTTCCTCGGTGATATGGCCCAGGAGCAGGTAGAGCTGCTTGTCATGCACGTAGCGCAGCGAGTACTTGGTATCGTCATCGTTCCAGCTATCCGGGAGCAGCTCGCTTCCCTCCTCTTCGGGCAATGTTTTCTATGTATGAATCGGTTTTTGCAATGAAAAATCTATTTCGACATAATCTACTCATCTACTCACATCGTCACCGACGCCCACGCAGCGAAAGTTGTAGTGTTTAGTCAGCAGAAAGTGGACGAGGGCTATTAGTACGTCCGGTTTCTTGTTGACATCCGACTGGACTGTCTTGTAGAGTAGATCCCAGCCGTAGAAGAAGTCCCCAGTCTTGGAGACCGACGACGATTCCATTGTGTCGACTGTATGGTTTTACAATAACTGGTCAGGATCGGGCCCAGATGAACGTTCTGTTTTTTCTCAGCTAAGGTGGAATTATTTATGCTTACATCTGTTCGTTCTATCGTTCGGCTTTGACTGCCAGACGTCCTTGGGTTGTCAGTACTTCCAGTATGTACGTATATCTCCAAGAAAAGTGTTTACAAGCCTAGTTGTTTCCAGAACATTTAAAAAACACAAAAATTATGTTTATTTCTGCAATAACCTCTTTGTTTTGGATTGCACCTAGAGATGGGCGATGGCTGCATTGCGCTATCGCATAAAGTTACGATCAGCGATATTTTTTCTAAGAAACTACAAAATTATAAAGAACTTGTAACCTACTGTACTTGTTAATACATTTAATTATAATTAAATACGTATTTAAAGTTTTACAAGAGTAAATATTTAACCGTTTGTTCTTAGCTCCGACAATTTCTTATATTTGTTTAGTCATTCATCTTTAACCATCGATGATTCCATTTAAATTATATCGATATCTCGATACCGATGCTTATCTTCCGTTGACCAGTGTAAACGCTTCGAACTATTCGATATCTTTATCGAGACATCAGCCGGGCGCTGTACACGTATGACGGAAAATTGCATGTTTTCGAGACGTTAACCGAGTGTTCCGCGCAGGAATTGTCCCAGATCCTTCGGAATGGGCATCAACGTTAGCAGGACGGCCGACCTGGCTTCCAACCAGTGGCTTCAGCGCTTCGTGGGCCGCCAGCACATCGCGCATGATGACGAGGCCTTCTGGAGCGGGCTCCTTAACTATAACATTGTGCTGCCGGAGAACAGGTGAGCGAACACAAGCCCCGTGGGCTTGGTTTATGGCAACGTCAGCAACGCTTATCCGACTGTGATTTCTTGCCTTGCAGCCAGGATCAGTTGAACCTGGACAGCCGGTTGGAGGCGCTGTGTCAGTCGTTCATCGGCAACAACCTGAAGACGGGCAACTTTGGGTCCCTGGTTACAGTGTTCCTGGAGAAGACCAGCGAGCTGCTCTCTCTGTCTGACCAGGAGAGCAACATGCACGTTTGGCAAACGTTCAACGCGCTGTTCATCATCAGAAGCCTGGTCAAGTACATCAACGAGACGGGCTCCGAGTTTCAGCTGTTGCAGCACTTCGAGGCGATGCCCAGTCCAGAGCAACTACAGGCGGCCCAGGAGCAGCAGCAGACGCCGCCTGAAAGTGCGAGCATAGCTATCGAGGCCACGGAACAGACGGCGGCGACGCCGGTTCCAGTAATTGTGGACGGGGCCAAGTTCGAGACCTTTATCGATGCCTTGGTCAACCTAATTGTGGTAATTCCCGTCAAAGAGTTCACCTACCACCTGCACTTGGAGGCCGTCAACACGCTGATCACGCTGCTGTCGGTGCATCTTTTCGCCCAGCAGCCCACGGACAAGTCGATCGTGTTCCGCACCGTCTTCAAGTGCCAACACGCCAATGTGCTTATGTCGGCGCTGCTGCACTTCGTGTCACGGATGGTAGAGGTCCCCCACACCATGTTCGGTTCCAGCTCGGCCGGATCGTTTGTTTTTGGCATCGCCGAGTCCCTACTATCTATCTTCACGTTTCGCAAGCAGCCAGACGTGCTGAAGTCAGGCCAAGCCGCCGGCGGAGGTGAGCTTTCGCAGAAATTCCGCACGCACTATCCGCTGGCCAACCAGAGTCTTCTGCTGATCCTGATACTGACGAATCATTGCACGGCGCAGGAGAACGCGTACCGAGCGAGTCTCTTTGGCTGCGCTGATTCCAAGGACTCGCCGAAGCAGGGAGCTGTATCCTTCCAGATCGACTTTTCGGCGGTGTACGAGACGCTGTGCCTAATCGTGACCATAGACCAGGCAACGTTGTTGCTTTACCTGCTCCTCCATCGTAACGAGCGCTTTTATAGGTTCGTTATGCAACAGCAGGACTTGGAACAGCTAGTGATACCCATTCTGCAGACACTGTATAACGCGCCCGATAGCAACTCACATCACATTTATATGTCGCTCATCGTTCTACTCATCCTCAGCGAGGACGAGGGCTTCAACAAGAACGTCCACACGATAGTGAGTACCCAGAATATTGCTTTTTATTACCAAAATAACCAATCCGTTTGCCCATTCCACACAGATGCTTAAGAACATCACTTGGTACACGGAGCGCACCATATCAGAGATATCGCTGGGCGGCATCCTCATCCTGATTGTCATCCGCACCATACAGTACAACATGCTGAAGATGCGGGACAAGTACTTGCACACCAATTGCCTGGCGGCGCTGGCCAACATGTCCGGCCATTTCCGCGCCCTCCATCCGTACGTGGCACAGCGACTGGTCTCGCTGTTCGAAACACTGGCCCGAAAGCATACGCGCCTGGATGCGCAGCTGAAGGAGCCGGCTGACAGCGCGGTGTTCGTCAATGTGTCTACAACGCCGGAAGATATGCTGCAGGATCTAAGCGTACTGGAGGAGGTACTGCGCATGGTATTAGAAATCCTGAACTCCTGCCTCACCAATCAGCTGGTCTACTGTCCCAACCTGGTGTACACGCTCCTGTACAAGCGCAGCGTCTTTGAGGGCTTCCGCAGTCATCACGCCTTCCAGGATGTCATCCAGAATATCGACATGGTAATTTGTGATTTTTAAATTGTGTTCTTTGCGTGGCTTTTTATAAGTTTTCTCTCTTAACTAGGTTGTTGGTTTCTTCTCCTCTCGGCTGCAACGTGTGCAAGAGCAACGTGGCGAACTGGGCGTCAACGAGGTGCTCGAGGTGATATCGAAGGGAGCCAGCCAGTGGTCCAGCGATCGCTTAAGGGTAAATCAACCAAGAAAAACAAGAAAAGCTGTTTACTATAGAATTATATATTTTTTTACTTGCAGAAATTCCCGGATCTTAAATTTAAATACGTCGAGGAGGACGCTCCCGAGGAGTTCTTCATTCCTTATGTGTGGACGCTGGTCTGCAAATACGGCTGCGTGCACTTCAGTTCCGAGAGCATCAAGAGCGTCACCACGGACATTGCCTGCTAATATTTACCCCTCGCCCCTTTTTATATACGCGCACACTCTGTTCCGCTTCGGTTTCTTCTTACACCCTGCGCTTTTATCTATTCGTTTTCTGTGGAACCTTGAATGCCATTTACTTAGGGAACCTCCGCCCTAATCCCTGCCTGATTTAAGCCAAAATGCCGAAAAAGTTATAGCAAACAAAAACAAGGAAAACACTCACGCATCTCGAAACGTTGACGATAAATTGAAACAAAAGCTAAACAAGCGAACTAACGATAATACTTAGAACTAGTTACGCTAATACTATAATACTGTGCATTGCCACGCAATCGGAAAGCATTATCCTGGAAACGATCATATTTTGCTGCGTCAACAACTGGAAGCATACTTAGAGGAGAGTAAAGCTCCAAACGCCTATCGATCGACGGTTCTAATCAACGGGAAGAAGCAAATTCAATAATAAAACAAACGTATATATACATATTTAAAAATCAGAATATATATGCATAGATATATTTACATTGTGTATGTTAGTCTATGATAATTAAATATTATTATTGTATTTAGCAATTTGAAAAGTCGATAAATTATATATATATATATTAACTAAAGTTCATAATTGTATGTGGTTTCCCTGCGCTGTCTGTTGTCTATCCGTGGGATAAGATAAGGTTTTTAACATTTTAATAGTGTCACTTCAGTACTTTGTCTTATCTGCAAGGGAAAGTCCCCAAGTTTTTATTCCCCTAAAGGGTATTACAATTAAGGTTAGAAGCTTGCAACGTAGGAAGGAATCATTTCCGACTCTATAAATCATATATATTTTTGATCATACTCAACAGCCGAGACGATCTGCCAATGTTTAAGCAAAAAAAAATGTATCAATTTTTTGAAAATTTTTTAAGGGGTTAAGGGGAAAAATTGGAAAATATTTTGATTTTTAACTTTCAAACTTAACATTTAGATTTGTTAACCTATTAAATATTTCTGGTAATTGGATATTTCCATTCGTGGAAAGTTTACTGTTTTGGCAACACATCTGTATTGCCATAAACTGTCAATATTACGTATACGACGCAGCTACACTTTCTTAGATAAACATTTTTCTTTCTCTGTGGTGAGTTCATTGTGAGATTTTTAGTTTGCATATTTGAACTACCAGCGGATGCAATTATGTGGTTGCCATTTAGTACCCCGTGTTACTAGATTTTAAAGGGTATATGGCATTGTCTGATACCCAGAGTAGGGCGTGTAGTGTTTATAGATAAAGTTCTATCTTAAAATAAAGCTGAAATTCTAGATTATAATGGCTACATATCAAATTTGATGAAAATCCCTTGAAAACTGCAAAAGTTATACATTTTTCCTTACCGATCGTTCCTTTGGCAGCTATGAATATACATATATGTATATATAGTCCATCGAATTACATATATACTTCTACAATTATATAGAAGACTAAGTCCATACTTACTTCAAATAGGTTGCTCTTAAATTTGTTCCAAAACAAATCTCGCACGTCTGTACATATGATTCCCAACTTGTTCTAACATCCCCAGAACGAAGTGACTGCTGCCAGCCAAGTACCAGAAATGTGTTGTGTTACAAAAGTTGCAAGTCATTGTTTATTAGTGTTCAAAGTTAGTAACTGATCATACATACTTACTGATCATAGATACTTACTGGTCAAAGATAATTACTGGTCGTAGATACTTACTGTTCAGAGTTAATTACTGCTCATAGTTACTTAATGTTCATAGAGACTTACTGATCATAGTTAATTACTGGTCATAGTTAATTACTGATCATAGTTCTATAAATCGTCCGATTGTTCCTATGTCAGCTATATATATGTATATAAATAGTCCACCGATTTGGCATGCTCCGATTTATAAACTTGTAAAAGTATATAGAAGATCAACTGCATAGTTTCATTCAAATAGCTTACTCTTAAATTTGTTCCAAAACAAATCTCGCACATCTGTAATTATGATTCCCAAGTTGTTCTAACATCCCCGGAACGAAGTGACTGCTGCCGGCCAAGTACCAGAAATGTGTTGTGTTACAAAAGTTGCAAGTCATTGTTTATTAGTGTTCAAAGTTAGTAACTGATCATACATACTTACTGGTCATAGATACTTACTGGTCAAAGATAATTACTGGTCATAGATACTTACTGTGCAGAGTTACTTACTGCTCATAGTAACTTAGTGTTTATAGAAGTTTACTGATCATAGTTAATTACAGGTCATAGTTAATTTTTGATCATAGTTCTATAAATCGTCCGATTGTTCCTATGTCAGCTCTATATATGTATATATATAGTCCACCGATTTGGCATGCTCCGATTTATAAACTTGTAAAAGTATATAGAAGATCAACTGCATAGTTTTATTTAAATAGCTTGCTCTTAAATGTGATCCAAAACAAATCTCGCACATCTGTACATATGATTCCCAACTGGTTCTAACATCCCCGGAACGAAGTGACTGCTGCCATCCAAGTACCAGAAATGTGTTTTTTACAAAAGTTGCAAGTCATTGTTTATTAGTGTTCAAAGTTAGTACCTGATCATACATACTTACTGGTCATAGATACTTACTGGTCAAAGATAATTACTGGTCATAGATACTTACTGCTTATAGTTACTTAGTGTTCATAGAAACTTACTGATCATAGTTAATTACTGGTCATAGTTAATTAGTAATCATAGTTCTATAAATCCTCCGATTGTTCCTATGTCCGATATATATATGCATATGTATAGTCCACCGATATGGCATGCTCCGATTTATAAACTTATAAAAGTATTCGGAAATCAACTGCATAGTTTTATTTAAATAGCTTTCTCTTAAATTTGATCCAAAACAAGTCTCGCACATCTGTACATATGATTCCCAACTGGTTCTAACATCCCCGGAACGAAGTGACTGCTGCCAAGTACCAGAAATGTGTTGTGTTACAAAAGTTGCAAGTCATTGTTTATTAGTGTCATTGTTATAGTGGCAGTGATAGTAATTCAATTCCAAAAATATCATCGGACCAATGGAATACATCTGGATAACCAGGAAGAAGCTCACTTCGATGATACCATGTTTCTTCTACCGCGGTAAGTCTTAACCATGACAATTATATTATGTATATATGTATATAGATGCTACAGGAGGGATCACGCCTAACTCTAGAATCAGCTGTGCTAGCTATGCATTTATATCCCAATTAATTCCCTTCTTGCCTTGGACACCATCACTTAATTTAAACCTTGATTTGTCGAAAAAATTGGCACTTTAAGCTTAGTTATAATTGAATTCCGATTCGATCTTTCAATTTAATTGCTAACCCTGATTTTCTACGTATTTTTATAAGTCTGTAAAATATTCTTTCTTAAGACACACATGGCGTATACCTAATTCAAGTGTTTTCACATTAAGTATACGCCTGGTATGCTAGAGTTAGCTGAAATCGCGAACTATTTTTAATCTATTACAGGGTATTATAATTTTAGTTAGAAGCTTGTAACTTGTGACGAAGTCATTTCCGACCGTATAAATCATATATATTCATCATCAGTATCAAAAACTAAATCTATCTAGCCATCTTAGAAAGAAATTAAAAGTCTTAAGTTAGCTTCCTTTATTGTTTTTAATCATTTACAATTTTCCATTACTCATGGGGACCACGATGTTGACGCTTTATTATGTATATTTGCACTATCAGTGGCTGCAACAACAATTGTGATGGGCCTGCCATATTTACTAAAATTACAATGTATTTTTCCCACCAACACCAGCGTCAGTCTCACCGGCGAACGAGAAAAGCAAAGAACCGACTTTTACTGACTGCTTACACTAAAGTTCGTTGACTTTAGGCTGTTAATGGCAAAAGGGGGGCCGAAGGGGGAGGCGGCAAATTGTGGTCGGCCGACTCATGTGGCTACTGCACTTTTGTCAGGCCCAGAGCAGCGACACGTAGCAAATAGGCAAGTTTGAAACGGCGGGAAAAATACGCATAGTAAACAATTGCAATAAAAAAATAAGTATAGATAAAAATTGCATTTGTTTTATAGCCTCCGAAAGCCGGAAAATTTGTTATTTGTGAGTTTTCCATGGCGTGTCGCTGCCCGCCCGCTGTGCGCTTAGTGCATTTCAATTAGTTTAAGCCTGCAAAAAAATTAACAAAAACAGCATAGATATTTGAAATTTCTTTGCTTCTCTCTCACTTTGCCTCTCATGATTATTTTACCATGCTGGCTGCCTTTTGTTGCAATTGTTGTGCTGGCCACTGGCAGCTATGCAGGTTAAAAAGGTTTATTGACTTTATAGCTGCACTCTGTGAGCCGCTTGTTGGTTAGATGTTGTTGCATTGCATTGCCATTGCCCAATTGGCCAGAATTTGCCAGAAGCTTTGTGGCTTCAATAAGTGGCAAAGAAAACTCCAAAAGCCATTGCCCAAGTCCAATTAGATAAAAGCCCCCTGCTTCCCCTTCTGAGGAGTTTGATTTGTTGGGTAAATTATTATTGTGAATTGGTAAAAGATATATTAATTATGGCATTGTAAGTTGTAACATTAATGATGTATAATTTATATAGTATTATTGCTATACATTTTATATAATCAATAGATTCACATTTGTAAAATGGTTCTTATTGATTTTTAACTTAATATAGTAATTAGTAAAATACCCCATTTTGACCCATTTATTAATTGGTTCCATAATGAAATAGACAAAATCATATCCCAAGAATGAGAAGTAGGTCAATTATTTTAAATGAGTTTCTAGTTTTTGGATAATCAGAAAATTGGAACGGCTTTTGGCCAAGTTATTTGTGTGTGTGCCAAATTCCTTGGGCACTGGCCAAAGGCTTGAATGGAGCTGGAAGCCGGTCCAGGACCAGTTTGCCGGTGGAGATGTTGCAAGCAACAAGACATGGTGGAACTCCATTCAGCTTGGCACGGCCCGCATTTTCGCATTTTGTTTTGGCAAGCTGCTTCAGGTCATTGATCCAACCAATAGATGTATAGATGGAACGGATGGTTGCTGTTTGTTTACGAACCCATTTACTATTAATACGAACGCGGGCTCTTGGGCCCGCACAACAATAATCTTGGAAATTTGGCCCAGTGCCCAGACCGAGCCCAGATCGATGCCCATACCCACAAGTCGGGCGAGCTTTGGCCCTCGGCGAAGTTTCGCTTGAGCGACCTGCGAATGGCCGAGTATCGACTGAATTAGATTTCTTGTTATTTCTTTCCTTATTTCGTCTGGTTTATTGCCAATCCGGCTTAGCATAAATTCGCACCTTTCAATTGTTTATGTTTACTTGCTTCGGCTTTGGCTCGGATTCGGTTTCGGTTTCGTTTTCGGTTTCTCACCGGTTTGTTTGTCCAAGTCCATCTGTCCAAGTCCGACTCCGAACCGTATCCGTGCGTATTTTTACCGCTGACGTAGTGGTTTGCCTAGACCCACCTAGGCACCACCACCACCCATTGACGTGATCGTGGTCCACTCATCCGTCCGTATTTGACCTTTGCTAGCTATGTATGTGATCTTGTTTGCTCGATCGATCGATCGATCGCATGAATGGGGGCTAGTTTTGCATTGAGAGCTGGCTTTGGGCCATTTCCAAGTGAAATCTATGAAAGTTGAGCCGCCTCTGGCAATTGCGCCAAGAGTACGATCTCTTGTACTTTTTGAGGCCGCCGAAATGTGTAGTTTTCGCTTATGTTTAGGTAACCAATGAGCAATGTCTCAAAACTTTGTTTATAAATATTCATTGAACCAGTTGCCGATCGGCGTCTGTCTTAAGCTTAACTTATAATAGTTTACGCGGTTATCAACAAACATTTGAAGCTGCTAGAACTGTCTAGAAACTAGTTGTTTTGACACACATTTTGGAAGAATTGAAATGTCTAATTTATTTAAATTTTCTATATTTAGCTATAGGAAAGCCTTTAAACCATGATAAGTAATTAATTAAACAAATACAACTTCAGCTTATTTCCGATAGCTATTAAAATATTTTGCAAATATTTATTTATTTATAGAAATGAAGGAAAACATGAAGCTGGCTTGGGTATACGAGACACTTCTCCCTCTTCAGTATAAACATAAAGCACGAATAAAATTTATTTTCAGCTAGACCCATTAAAATTAATATCTGTTACTTCTGCATTACAAAAATATACAACTGTTTTGCTTGAGAAAAATACTTGTTTATAGTTTCATGTTTTATAAAATTCTTTATTTTATACAAATATTTTATCACAATAACTTAAGCTCTAGATGGATCGCTCGGGGGTGTTGGACACCGCAAAAAAGTATATAATAAATGGGATAAATGACAGAGAAACTACATAAATATTAGGTAGAAAGGAGAACAGTTAATCGCTTGGATTTGTGATGTGCGTGAAGTTTAAAGTTAAGTACAGTATATGCTGCTGCCTTTGGTTCGCTACTTTGCGCAGGTCGAGGAAGAAGCAGGCGCGCCTTTGGCAACACACACCGGCCACCGGATGCCGCCGATCGGCCCTCTACATGCCCTCGCAGGTGGACATGCAGTCCTTGTAGCTGGGGAAGTTGTTCTCGTTGCCATCGCAGCCACCAAACTTAAACTCGACGCACTTCTTCTGCTCCGGATCGTAGCGCCAGCGTGGGATCAGGGCCCGGCAGACGCCCTTGCGTGCCGGCATCAGGCAGAACTGCTCCGGATGGGTGTTCCGTCCAGTGTTGGCCACATCATCCAGCGAAATGGCGTCAAAGAAGTCGCTCACATCGTCGTACAGGTCCATGGGTCTGGCCTCGCCGCTTCCAGCAAGCAGGAGGAGCAATAATGCGACTGCCACACTTCCCACTATGAGTCCTCTCAATTGGTCGCACATTTTGTATGAGTTTTTGCTTTGTTGTTAACTATTTCACAGATATCTTTCACTTGTGTTCACCTGGCTACTTGCGGCACGCAACTGTTGTCTCTGCAGGTTCAGCTTTTGGTTTTATATGGCCAGTGACGTGCCCGATGGCGCGCAGATCCGTAGTCCGAGGGGGGCAAACTCCCATTTAAGAGCTCCAAGCGAAGCTTTCAGCTTGTTTTTAATGCTCTTAAGTCTCTCTTTAATCGCGTTCTGGATCAGCATGTTGCTAGCTTTAAATCATTCCGCTAATATGGTTCCATACATATATCCAAAACTTGAGCAAGATATAAACAATATGTGTAAAATAATCCATTTATCAACATAAAATATGTTTATATTTAAAATTCCCGCCATCAAAGACTCTGTGCTGCTATCGATTACCGATCTTTAAACTTATCGATAACTTTTGTCATATGCACATCTCTATTTTTATGTTATTGTGAAATCTGGCGCCGAATTGTTTAAATCTACTAAAATTAATAATTAAACGTAAACAATGTCGCGTGACTCGCTTCTTTCGTGGATGCGAAATCTTGGAGAGAAGGGCCGTCAAAGTGAGCTGGAGTTGCTGATTCAAAACAAGCCCATCAAGGAGGTAAGAGTCCCTGAAGTTGAGGCGTCTGAAAAATAGCAAAGTTAATTTGTTTTTTAGCTGACTGACACTCTATGTGCAACAATGTGCCGCAGCGAGGGAATAACGTATTGGAACTACTTGCTCCTGGGCTTCAATCCAGACAGTCAGGAGGCACGAGAGAAGCGATTCGCCTGCGTGCGCAGTTTTATGGACGGACTGCGTAGCATGGAGCTCAGCTACAAACAGACCTTCGATCTGATCACGCGCCTGTCCCAGGACCTTGTCACCTTCTCATCCGACCAGCTGGCCTGGATCGTGGAGCATTGTATTGACGGGTTGCGTCTGGGAGACGCCAAGTGCGTGGGCTGGAAGGACCTGCTCCCAGATGCCCTCTCCTTGCTGTCGGCCAGGCCGCGGTTCCTTCTAAACGGAATATATGTTGAAGGAGATGAGTACAGGAAGGCTACAGTTCGAAGTATTTCGACCATGCAATGGCCATCAACGATACTCACTCCCATTGCCGATATGTTCAAGTGGGTTATGCGGCTCTTGTTTGCATCCCAACTTAGTTAACGAAACTCTTTATGTTAGGAATATGAACCTGAGCAACGCCGAGGTCGTGACTGTGCTGAACAAGTTTTCTGGGGCCCTGCAGGAGTTGTCTCCCATGGAGCTGCCTGCTTTGTGCTTCCAGCTCTTTTCCATGTGCACTACTGCCTCTCAGTTGATTATTCCTTTGCTGGCACTGGAGAAGTACTTTCATCGCAATTTTTACAAGCGCCTGTTCTCGGACATGTGCAGTAACTCCACAAACCTGGACAGCATTGGTGGGTCACACTTCTGTGGCATTTATTTATGGTTTTATATTACTAAAATAACTTCCGGTAGACTCCTATTCGGACAAGGAACTTCGGGAGGCGGAGGAGACTATACTACATCATTTAAACTACTGTACTATGTACAAGTTAACAGAGAAACACTTGGCCATAATGCTGAGAGTAAGCTATCCAAATTTAAGAGTATCTATCGACGATTTAAATAACAAATACTGTGTACTTTTCAGAACTTCCAGCACATGCCCGATGTGGTACTTACTCCTTTTATGCTCAGCGCCATTATATCCATGACGACAATAAATCGCGATCCGGAATCCGCACGCACCTCTCACTCCATTCTGCTGCCCTTTTTGCGTAATGTTATCAAAAATAACGAAGAAGAACGCACCTTGGCTGACTATTCCGTGTGGTATCGAGATACTTTGCAGCGTAAACAGGTTGATCTGCAACAGGTTTTTGCGGTGCTGATAGATCAGAACAAAGATGGCAAGGATGTGATCACACCCGGCCTGGTTCACTTGATATTCTATTTGCTTAAATCTCATTCGCCCAAGATGCACACCTTGTCCATTACCTTTTTAACGAAATTCATACGGAAGCGCTTCATTTTTGGTCAGGGAATAATCAAGTTAATTTCTGAATGGATGATTGTATACCAGGATCAAAATCAGTTCTCGGGTTAGTAACCCTTGTTATTTATTTAATAACTGATTAAAATGAGTGACTATTACAGAATGTCTCACCCTACTGAGCGTGGCAGATACGTACACCGTCTCGGAGTGTATAAAGACCATTCAAAATGTTATGGAGCACATGCAATGGGTAAGTCGGATAAAGGAATATTGGTATGCAGGAACCTATAGCTATTGTTACTTTTCCTCAGCTTTCTGGTGAGCAAGCCATGCGGATGATGAACTTTATTCTGCCCCTCTTAAAAATATCTAATCGCGTTCGCGATGCTTTGATTGATGTTCTTTGCAAGTCCATGAGCTCAAGGTGGGTGCAAAGTCCTAGTAAAATCTATTAAGAAGTATGTTTCAAATTGTTTTTTTTTTTTTTAGCGGCATTCAAAAACGTCGAATGGCCATTTATGGTTTCTGCATGATCCTAAAGCAGCTCAACAACAGCAATGCTGTGCGCCAGACCTCAAGTGCCACCAGCTTCTGCACGCAGCACAGTATTTCTGGTTACTCCATGATGACCCAGAACACGCTGGGAAGTCGTAGCAATCCGCAGCGTAACTTTGACATGTTGACTCTGGAGATAATCGGAATGTTACGAAATTGCTTACAGCAGCAGTTCGATATTCGTTGTACCCTCTATGAGAGTAAGTTAGGGAATATATCTTTTCACCAATCATATTTTGATGCACAATTCATATATATAGATCTCCAGAGGGCCGTGGAGCTGAATGCCAAACTGGTGCCCCACGTCCTACAGGTCATCGATTGGCACTTTCGGAGCTTCTTTGAAACGCCCGCTGCTGAAGATGCTGGTGATGATTTGGACACAGTTTTTCGCATTCGCTACGACCAGTTGGCCACTGCCATTGATGAACAACATATGGAGATTCAGCTCAACGATAACCTTGGCCGGCTGATCCAGTTTGTGGCCAACTGTTTGTCCATCTTTGAGCGAGCGCCAACGGGCTACGACACACGGGAGATGAATCGTCTTATGAATCTTTGTGAGCAACGAATGACGGCCAATAGATTACCCTTGGAGGACATTGTATGTGATATAAAGATTCGTTTATAAATTAGCTCTAATAATAATGGATTACTCGTCTTTTTAGGCGCCCCCAGCCACACACCTTAAGTGCGTTTTGGTGCTGCAGCAACTAAATATCATCGAAGGACTTATTTCCCACTTGTTGCTTCGGTCTAAACCGCAAAACGATGCTGTGTCCCAGATTCTGCCTTTATTCAATCAGCATGTGAAGCTCTTGGAGAATCTCAAAACCCTGGCAGGTGCCTCAAAGAAGAGTTTGAAGCAATCAGCCAAGCAAGCGGCCAACAATACTTCGCGATCTAACACCTTTAATCTGACCATGAACGGGGTCCCAGTGAGGAGCATGTGCACGCAGCCGGAGAACATTTGGGACTTGGCTATACTGGAGAAACTGCTACATCTATTGCTGGAGTGAGTCACTACTATAATGTCCTTAAAAATTATATTTTAGGCAAATATTGCAGTGACGTTGTGGCCTTTGCTGCACCCGAGAGGACCACTCTCTTGCGTTCAAATCAGCCTCTCGTGCGTTACACTATTAGTACTACTGCACAAAGACTGGAGGGCATACGCCAAGAACCGGACTATAAACAACTTAGCTACAGCAAGCGGACCTTTAAGCAACTAGCAGACATCACCAAGATCATATACGAGCGTTGCATTCGTCGGCTGCCCCAGTTGTGGCGAGAATTCGATATGGCCAGCTCCGCCTTGGCCGCTAAATGCTTTGCTGAGTGTCTTAGGACAGCCCATCAGGTTTATCCGAAGAAGTTCCAGGAATTCGTCAGGATATTTGGTAATACACACCTAAAGTTAACTTAAACATAGCCTAAATAGAATAAATTTCAGATATGGCATCCTTAAACAAAGGCAAGGAAGTCACCTATATTGTTCAGGATGTCTTGGATGAGTTTATGACGGAGTATTGCAGCGATGAAGCCATATGCAACGATGAGTCCGTTGCCAAAGTGCCAGTTTACCTCTTGGAAGCTTTAGAAATTCTTCTGGATCACATTGAATTCGGAGAGCGGGCAGCCACCGAGTCGTACACTTGGCTGTTGCGCTTTTGCAGCAAATACGAGATCCTAAATGGCGAGATGGGCCTTGTACACCGAATGCTATTTACCCAGCGCCAGAAAACGCATTCGGGCCCATTCTTTGAGAGTATTGCCAGGCAATTGGGACTTGTGCTTGGCACCCAAAATGACAATTTGGCCTTGGATTCCATGGAGCTGAGTTTGAAATCTATAAGTACCGTGACAGCCGAGAGCTGTCTGCAGCACCTCTACGCAGCTGTACAGAAGCAGCTGACGGATGTGGATTATTTCGTTACCAAGGCCAATAATTTGAACTACAAATGCCAGATAGTTCCCGAAACGGATCAGATATACTGGCGAGGTAACCTAGATGCCATGGACCGTTCCATTTGCACTCAGATAATCCACATCTCGCGGACTCTTATGTGGCTTACGCACCTCTGCATTCCGCTGGGTTCCTCCATGGACGGTCTAATGAAGCTGCTGATCCAGCACTATACGTGCCTGAAAAACCTGGCCAAGCACTACATATCCTGCTTCTCGTCCGATGGAAGCGTGGAAAATATTCGTAGCACCAAGTAAGTTAAAGCTTTACTCTAAAAGGGTTCATTAATTCATACCTTTGATTGACAGATTTGAGCTGCTTCTTAGGGACGTGGGGAAACAACTGCCGGCCAATGTTTACGAGCTCATAACCTATATCGAAGCGAACACCCTGGATGAGGAAGCGCAACAGCATATTAAGAAGCGCAAGGTCCAGGCCGAGCGAGCCAAGATCCTCCGGGAGACAAGGCTGATTCCCAAAGTCATTATGGTCATCGAGGACTTCAACAAGCACATTATCCTGCTGTCCAAGAAGACCAAGACCCAGAACAGGCTGACAGACTACTTGCACTTGGGCACTATGCGTGACTTTGATATCAAGTCGAACGATTTGAAGGCGGCCATAGAGCGTAGTTTATCGGATGGCCGTAATATATCCGAAGAGGATAGCAACGCGGAGGATCAGGAGGATGAAGTAGAGGAGGATGCCCAGTCCACCACCTACCCGGCAGATGAGAGTGAGGCGGAGGCCGAAGCGGAAGTGGAGCCTGAGGACGTTGAAGAGCCAGTAGTAGTGGAAAAAAAGACGCAGCGCCGTAGACGTGCACCCAGTAGTGAGTCGGAGGATACTCAACCAAAACGGAAAAGAGGCCGCAAGCCCACCAGTGAAAAACAAGAATCTAATGCAAAGACGCATCCAGATAGCTCAAAAACTAAGAACCTGAAAACGGATTCAAATAAACAGGTCAAAAAAGCAGCTCAGGCCGCATCAGACGAGAATAAGAGGCCCAAGAGATTTGCAGAAAAGAAAGAGGAAAACCAAAGGGCAAAGGAAATCACAGAAGTCTCAAAGCCGGAAAAACCCGAAACTAAAGATAAGCCTCGAATCAGCCGACGACTAGGGCTTGGGCGCTCGGGGAAGATGTGAGTTCAATTTAAAAAGGTTTTTTGTTATTTTATCTTCTTGTAAATTGCATTTCATACAAGATACGTATACATACATTCATACAAGAAATTCACATACACAAATCCACTATGTATAAAAAATTGATTTATTTTAATTTCAAATTCATGTCAAAGGTATTTTTAGCTATTTTAGGGGCTGATAAATAATATCTCGCTTCGTACACATTCTACCACTGCAAAAAAAAAAAGGTATTAGTTGCCAAATATTGCAATAAATATATATATATATATGTATATACTTACAACTTGATCATGTCCATGGCCAGAGACATGGACATTTCCATTGCTGTCCACGATAACTGTTCGTCCGTCCGTCCGCTTCCACTCCGAAACTTTGTCATTCCACACGCCAGCTTGATCGTCACGAGCCACAAAATTCTCACCCTGCACGCGGGCATCATTAATGCTGCGACTGCTCCTCTGCACCACAAATCCTCCGTTGCCATAGTCCACAGTGCGACCAGGACGCTCCACGTGGAACTGGGGGCTGCGGCGCTCCCTTTGAACTACAAATCCACCCGAACCGACATCGACAGTGCGACCAGGACGCTCCACATGGAACTGAGGGCTGCGGCTCTGCCTTTGAACCACAAATCCACCGTTTCCGTAGTCCACAGTGCGACCAGGTCGCTCCACATGGAACTGGGGGCTGCGGCTCTGCCTTTGAACCACAAATCCACCGTTGCCGTAATCAACCGTGCGACCAGGCCTCTCCACATGGAACTGGGGGCTACGTGGTCTACGTAGAGCAGGGCCACCGGCAGCTACGGGATAGGACGAAGAGGGATTTACAGCGACAAGACCAGGACCGCTGATTGTATGGGAACCACCTTTAGGATAACATGAGATTACAAAAGAGTTCGTTAGATTTGTATATCCCTTAACACTACCTGGTCGTCCAGCCTTCCTATGATTTACATAGGTGTTGCCCAGTTCGTCCGTGTAGACGTGTTCCTTGGGCGCCGATGAGTGCTGGAACTGGCCGGCCACTCCGGGCACAGTGTACGCGCCATCGTTCTGTCCTCGTATGTAGACTTGATTGCCCGGCGTGCCAAAGACGTGGGGTCCATTCCGGCCATCGTATGTGTGCTGGGGATCGGCAGCTGCCGTGGGAATAATAAATCTGAGATTATTCTGTGCTGCGGAGTGGCCATGAATGGGGTTGCTAACCGACGCAGAGTAGACCGCAAACGATCGCCACGAGTAGTCCAAAAATATGCATTACGACCAGTGTGTTCTGAAGCTGAGCTATAACTAACTGGCTTGACTTGCTCACGGTATTTATAAGTAGCTGCGCAGTAGTCCAAGATCAGGTACACATTCACAAATTAGCGACAGCTTCTGAAAAATTCCCAAACGTCACCGCACCCTCTCGGAATCGGGAATGATAAGGGAATACGAGCGGGAATTCCACAAACCGATCGAACATATTGACCCCAAAGCAATCACCGATGCTGATCATTAAACGCATCGCACGGGCTGCTTTGTCTACCAAACCTGATTGTGCATTTTGTAAACAATATCAAAGCTTATCTATCTCACAAACAAATTATTAAAACACACAATCAACACTTGTGATACGACATAATTTTATGATTTCCTTTGAATTGTTTAGTTTATTTCCTTTTGTTTTTTTATAAAGATAGACAAAGACCAGGGCTCGATAGAAAAAGATAAACACATTGAAACATTAACATTAAATAAAAAGTAATGTCGGGCTTGGTGTCGGGTCGGTGTAGCGTTTGTACTGACATTTGGCTTCGCAGGAGATAGGAGCTAGTCCTCCGGCACCTTCCACTGCAACTGCTTGCCCCGCTCGTACAGGTTCTTGAGTGCGTTGGTGAACTTCTTTTCTGCCTGCAGCTGCAAATAGTGTTTGTAGAGCTGCAGGGTAGTGCGTGCATCCTCGATGGAGTCATGTGTCTCGGACTGGATCTTGGACCCTGGATTTAGGGGAAGTTTTAATTCGAAAATCGATAAAAAACTAGAAAGTACAAACCCAAAAAGTGCCAGGCCAGGAATCTAAGCGACACCATTCGATGATGGGGCAAATGGAATAGGTGCACCGTGTCGATTATCTGCTCCGACGGCACATAGATGTTTATGACCCTAAAGTCGTTTTTGAGACCGTGTCCGACAAAAATGACGCCCACATCGACCAGATACTTTAGCTTCTGGTACGAGTACTTGAGGGCCGTCAATCGCTTCTTGCTGAAGTTGGCGTCCAAGTCACCGGGCTTGATGCCCGAAAACTGTGTTAGATAGTCCACCACTTTCTCCTGTGTGGAGATGTAGTCGTCCATGAATGGAACTCCCTCATCCGTGCCTTGTCTGTAATTACACTTATGTCAACAAAGAATTTTATTGGAACAGCAGTGTGGGTTGAAGCGTTACCCCCGAATACAGGAGATGCGTGCCACACTCATGTGACAGGGCTTAATGGTCGCCGTCTTGCCATCCGGACGAATCTCGTTCTCCTCAGGATTCAAGGTAACGAATTCAGCATCCATTGCGACCAGGTCACCGGACTGCGGCATCTCGTTCTCTTGCAGTGGCTTCAGGGTGGCGTCCGTACTCAGGTTGCCTGGTATGGGACCGCCCATGTCCTGACAACAAGCAAACAACGATTAGGTCTCCACGGGGAGAAATTCTAGGCAAACGCACCTCTAGGAAAGGATTAGTAAGGTTGGTTGGCGAATCGCCGCAGCTGCTCTCTGATGGTATGGCCGGCTCGTCACTGTCTGTGACAGTGGAGCTGGAAGTGCTTGCAGTCTCCAAGTCATCCTCGACGCTCTTGTAGAACAAGACGCAGGGCATCTTCCAATCTAGAGTGAACCACACCGACTCTTGTGGCGACACGGGAGAAATGCTAATAAAAGCATACAAAATTTGTTTTAAAAGTAATATAAACCTGATTGTATACGGTACAACCCACCTGAAATCGTTGAAAATGTACCATTGATGCTGGAGATCCTCAGGGGATTCGGCCAACTTCATGGTATGATATTGACGGTGGACGTTGATCAGAGAAACCAGGTTCTTTTGAGTGCCGTCATCAACTTGGCAGACCACCGCGTGAAGAGCGTACATGCGTTCATTGTCGCTGGCCTTGGGTGACAATTTCTCAGCCTCCTCCTCCTGCTGTTCAGATTTATCCGATTGAGTTTGTACCTGCAGTTCCCCTTGCTCGTTGATATCCATGGTGAAGGTCAAGGGAAACCAGGACTTCTGCCGTCCATTGGGTGAGCTGTTGGCGTTGCCTGCCGATTGGGTGCTGGTGTGCGATGGTGACTTTCTGCAAGAACTGTTCGTTACAAGCTCGGTATAGAAAAATAGAAAAAATGTTACTAACCGATCGGGATGCATGAAGTGACAGTCGCTACGTGAACAGTTAGCTCCATAGCGGCAGGGTTTGCTGGTGCTCAAGGAAGCTGCTGCTTCGGCTGAGGGCTTCTCGCTGCACCGATTGAGCTGGCGCTTCAGGAAGCTAATGTCTTTCTCATTGTTAAGGCCGCAGTTAATGGCCAGAGTATGCGGCAGAGATGTGACCTGGAATAAAGGTAACTTTTTAACTCATAATATAAAAGAAGGATAAGCTGGCTCACCTTCACGCTCTGGTTAGTGGGGGAAAACTTCTTGCAGTTCTCGCAAAAGGCCTGAATGCTCTTCTCCGAACTGAGGGAGCGCTTTAGAATGGTGCCAAAGTGAAAATACTGCTCGCTATCCTTGACGTTGGTGGGATACGACAGGTTACAGGCCAGCTGGATGGTTTCCTTTGATTTCTCAGCCTGGCATTTAATGCAGCGATTGACACATATCTGCTTGGTGCCAAAGATCTTACTGATTTCTGTTTCGGCGTTTATTTTGCTGCGTTCGAGATCCGCGTCTTCTTTCGAATTATCATCTGTTGGCGGATGGAACAAAAAAGGTAGCCTGGGAGAGACCTTTTCAAGCCATTACTTACCACAAATAGACTCGTACAAGTCCGACGATCCACTTGTTTCGGATGCCGGGCTCGGGTTTTCAGCTAAGCATAAACGAAGGTACATGGGTCAGTGTGAGTTTCTTATCAAAAAATTAATTTCAGGTGGTTACCAGCTGTAGTTGTTTGCACGGATCCGCTTGACGCAGAGGAGTTCTTGCTGGAATCGAAGATTTCGTAATGCATTTGATGCAGAATGAATCGGTTCCAGTTCTGAGAATGTGCATATATATATTACATGTTAATAAAGCCAATCTAACCCTTTACTTGCCTGAATAAGTGTGATAAGGTTGACGTTGGAGGAGCGATCCGTCAGTATCAAGCCCAATGCTGAGGCCTCCGGCACTGTGCGAAAAGAGCGCAGGAAATTGCTAGCCTGGCAGGGCGATGAAGCTGCAAAAGACGAGAGCATCAGATGTACTTTACAGCAGCCAAGTTACCATGTAGATGGACCCACCGCTACTTTTGTCCAGCATGTGGAAGAGAAAGCCCAGCTCACAGGACAGGCAAAATTCTTTGCTGCACGAGTGCTCCATCAACTTGGCTCGCAAAGGCTCTGTAAAGTATAAAATCTAATGGGGACAGGAAATTCATTATTTACATTACTTAAAGATGAATAAGAATATGAAATAATCAAACCTGCAGCATGGCATTGCAATAGGAGTTGGGCAATGTGGCCTCCAGCCCGGCAAAGCACGTCTGGTTATGCTGCTCAAAGTCAAAGTCCTGAGTGCCCAGCTTTGTGTACTTCAGCTCCACCTTGCGATACCGCCTTGGAATGATCTTGACGCCGTTCTCCGTCTTAGCCACGGCAGCCGCTCCATTGCCGTTCGCCATATTTGCGCCGCCTTGCTCAATGATGTACGGAATCTGATTGCGACGTGCGTTGCGTGGATTCGGCGAATAGCCGATGGGTCCTTGCATTTTCATATTGTTCAGTACCTCGGGATCGATGGTCTTGGGCCTGTGGTAGCTGTAGTGAAGCAGCTCCTCCGGCCAGTCCGAGAACCACTGCGTGCCTGTCGTCAAGTGCGGCAGCATGACCGACGATATTGGGAAGTTCGTGTCCGTTATGGATACTATTGGTAGCTGTGGCACAACGTCCGCAAATTCCGTGTTTCGCGAGAAGGGATTGAATTGCGGCTGCGGCGTCTGCACCGCGGCAATCATATTGATGTGTCCGGATTGGTCGCCAAATGCCATTGCCTGAGAGGAGGAGCTGATGTCGAAGCTAAGGCACTGGCTGCCATTGGTGTTGATCTGATACATTGAGACGCGCGGCTCGCTCAGCTCTACGGTGTCCACCAACTGGATCTGGCCGTAGCTGGAGACTACGGCCAACCGCGAAGTGAGCGAGGGCAGGAACTTCAGCATCTGCGGATCGATCATCATCTGAATGGGGGAGATTGGGCGCAGCATTCTCAAGTCGTAAACCATGAGGAATCGGTCAGCGGTAAGGCTGTTCTGCCGCCCACTGTAGCCGCACGAAATCAGCAGGTTGCCTTGGACGCTGAAATCGGAGAGGACATTGGTGTGCGTTTTGATCGTGTGCTGGACACTCAGGCTGTTCAGGTCGCGCAAAGTCACCGTTCCAAACTGGTCGCCGGCAAACAGAAAGCGCGAGTTCTTTCGCAGCACCGTGCAGCCGGCGGCACCCAGATGCTCTAGCCGGGTTTCCTTCAGCGAGCGCATATCGAAGTCGATGAGGTCCTCCTGGAGCCCGGCCATGACCAGGCGATGTGGCGAAAGCTGCAGCATGCACACCATTTCCCTCATGTTGTTAGATCTGTCAAGATACGAGAAGTGCCATAAGAATGGAAGCAAGCCAAGCGAATGACGAAGGTTTACTTATGCGTGAACTTGGGCAGACCTCGGCGGATTTGGTGACGCAGCGAGGTCTGGGTGAGCACCAGCACTCCCGAGTCCAGGGTAGTGATCTGGCGGACAATGTCGCTGGCGTGCACCTGAAATGAGGTGTACTTCTGCATCGAGCTTGTGTAGTAGGAGGTCACATGGCCCTGGAAAAAGGAGACGAGAATTGCACTAGAAGAGACTAACAGAGACTTGGTGCACACACCCCCTGGTTGCCCATCCACAGCAGCTCTTCGTAGTCGTCGAATGCCACGCTGGAGACGCCGAACTGGTCCCCGCCATCGGCCAGAACGGGTACCAATTCCACATAGTCCGGGTCGGTGGTCCCGATATTGAAGCCATTGAAGCTGGGCGAGAAGTGTCCATTTCCGCGCGCCCATCCCGCCTCGTATACACCTATTTGCAGAAACGTAAACACAAAACAAAGGAGAAAGCTCAGCGGCGAGTGTGTGTGTGTGCGGGCCAGCGGAGTCCCATGGCGGAGCCGTACTTAAAATGTCCTCCGAGGCGCCGATCGGATCCGTGCCGCAATAAACGTAATCCATCTGCGGCACTGGATAGTCTTCGCTCCGAATTTATCGTATATTTTCGCAAAATTTTACTGCAAAATTGCCAGAGTGTTGTTTTGTGCCGCCCACGCCAGCTGTTTTTTCTTTCAGCTTCTCCTCACGTCAAATTTTCAGTGTGACCGAATGACGGAGGAAAAAAGCTAACTTCGGCACGCCGGAGTTTTTATACCCTTGAAAGAGTTTTATTAATATATATTTATGTTAAAAACAATTAAGTAATGGCTGCTCTCATTTAATTCACCTGTGACAGCTATATGATATAGTAGTCCAATTTTCATAAAATTTTACACAAAATTTTAGAATAATATAAAATGGCTCTATCTCAAATTTGATAAATATCTTTTGAAAACTGAAAAAGTTGTAATATTTTATGTAAACATTTTTCGACGGTTCCTATGGCAGCTAGATCGACTCGGCTGTTGATCCTGATCAAGAATATATATACTTTATATGGTCGGATATGTCTCCATCACTGCGTTGCAAACTTCCTAATAAAATGATAATGCTCTGAAATGGTATAAAAACACGCCAGTGTTGGAAATTGGCTGCCATTTTGGAGCATGCTGGCAATTGGAAAATTCCCGATCAGAATATTAAAATTTTCCCGAAAAAGCTACAAGACAATGTCTGACCTGCAGAAGATTGCGGATAACAACAAACGCGCGGAAGCACTGATCACCTCGATCGAATCCGAGGCAAGTTTTCCCCATTTCACAGCGAACTTTAAGTAAACATCTCTTTGCCAAAGATCAATGCTATCCAGAAGCAGCTGGTGGAGCGGCAGAAGCAAGAGCTCACCAGGGAGAATGCCCTGTTGGCTAGGGAGGTGGAGGCCGCCTTGGCGCAGCTGGTGAAGCTGGAGCTAAAGAACGGCAAGAAGCAGATACCGGTGCCCGGATCCCGAGGACTCTGCACCAGTGCCGCCTCTGAGGCTCCCCCGGCTACAGCTGCAGCTGCCCCAGCTGCCGCTGCTGAGGCGGCGGCGTCCAAGACGGTCAAAGAGCCCAAGGAGAAGAAAGTGAAGGAGAAGAAACCGGCCGCCGAGAAGCCAGCTGCCGCTCCAGAGGCCCCGGTAGACGTCGGACGGCTCGATATGCGTGTGGGCAAGATCGTGGAAGTGGGTCGCCATCCCGACGCCGATAGCTTGTATCTGGAGAAGATCGACTGCGGAGAAGCTGCTCCGCGCACTGTGGTGTCGGGTCTGGTAAAGTTTGTGCCCCTGGAGGAGATGCAGAATCGTCTCGTGGTGGTCATGTGCAACCTGAAGCCGGCCAAGATGCGCGGCGTCACCTCGGAGGCCATGGTGATGTGCGCCTCGACGCCGGACAAAGTGGAGGTGCTCAGCCCTCCTGCCGGCGCTGTTCCCGGCGATCTGGTGCACTGCGAGGGATACCCGCGCCAGCCGGACGTCCAGCTCAACCCCAAAAAAAAGGTCTTCGAGGCGTGTGCTCCGGATCTAAAGACGAACGGGGAGCTGGTAGCCTGCTACAAGGGGTCCGCTCTCCATGTTCCCGGCAAGGGCAACGTTGTTGCCCAAACCCTCAAGAACGTCAATGTAAAGTGAGCGAGACAATAAACGGAAACTATCATCACTGCCTGCAAGGCATTACTCAGAGCTTCTATGAGATTTAGTTTTATTTCACAGGACAGCAGTACATAACGACATTAAATTTAGCTTTAACAATAACATATACATATGTACTTATATATATATATGTATATATAATTAGGAAAGAGTACTACAAATGTATAAATTACTAAACAATTTGGCTGATTCCACACCGGTCTGGTCCAAGCTTAGCGGTTTCTCTGTTGTGGCGGAACTTGGGTCCGGAACACGGCATTCGAATTGGTCTCCACCACTATCGTCTTTGTCATGATGTCGTAGGCGGTACGGTTGTTCTTGAAGAAGATCATCACGACGCAGATGGGAAAGAGCAGCGTCATCACCATATTCTTGGCCAGAGCACGAGCGAAGGCCCGCAACAGACTGGGCGTCTGTGCCGGATAGAGCAAGGCGCGCATTGGCTCCCGTTGCGGCTGTAGCACAAACTGCGGCAGGGGGGGCGCCTGCAGCGGCATGACAGCCTCCACATAGTGAATGCGAATCTTCATCAGCGACTTGCCAGGCGTGGCCCCGTTGCAGTAGGCGGTCCACACCGCCTCGTAGCAGCATACCGTGAGCTTGGTCAGGAGCTCGATGAGCAGCAGGTCGGTAGACATCGAGATGAAGTCGAACGAGATGTCGAAGAAGTTCATCAACAGGTCGTCCTCTTCCAGCGTTCGCCGCATCACCTCCTTGTCAAAGTCCAGGTCGAATAGGTTCACCACACCGAACGTAATGATGATCTTCAGGATAAACAGGATGAAGACATCGATTGTTTCCGCCACTGCTCGTTTCCAGAAGGGCGCCACCACGTACTCGTAGCCGCCCACTCGCTGTATGGTCTCCAGTTGCTGCGCCTCGTCGAGCACCCGGAAGCGGTTGAAGGTCTGTGGCGGTCCTGGCTGTCCTGGCGGCGGAGGACTCCCAGAATTGGGAATGGGCGGTCCTGCGAAAAGAGGCGTCGTCGCCGTGGGCTGGCCTACGGTCACTGGAGCGGCTGACCAGCTGTCTGTCCCTGGAATAACTGTGGGTAATTGGCCAGCAGATAGTAGGGAAACATGGACATTGCGTTCTGCGCAATCGACGCCTGTTTGGCCCACTCCGCGAGGGTGGCGAAGTACGCCTCCTTGGTGGACTGCTCCTGCTGCAAATCCGGCGTTGTATCGCTCATCTTGTGTTCAGTACTATTGTGTTAAAAGGAATGTTTTTATTATGAATTTGTTTTATTTATTTTTCCAGACCAAAGTTGACGTGTATGGAAGGCGGCGGGGTGTGTCGGCGCTGCGCAGCGAATGCTGTCTATACGGTTATGACACTCGGAAAAATTCATTAAATGTGACACTGCATTAAAAAATATATTATAACGGCCTGAAAATTAAGCTATTCTTTTTTACGTTGTTTTGATACTTCAATTTCAATAAATATTAAAGCTGCAATTTTATGGCTTAGAGTAAACATAAGTAGGTAATGCTTTTAAATCTCAAGCTTTGTAGTAGTTCGAAATGCAGTGAAGCAGTCATTTCCGACCCCATAAATATATATATGTATATATATATATATATATATATATATATATTCATTATGAGCATGAGCAGAAGAATCTTTCATCATATCAATCATATTTTTTATCAAATATGTTCAAATTAAAAAAAAAAGGGTTACATCGTCAAAATTTAAAAAAAAAATTGAATTTCTTAGATTTTAAATTGCGGAATTGTTAACCTCATAAAAACTATCATGGGAAAGCTTTCCGAATTGAAATTAATATATTCCCGATCAGCATCAACAGCAGAGTCGATTTAGCTCTCTCAAAAAGGAAAACAAAAATTGACCAATTTTTTTTTAATTATATAAGGGAAACAAAAATTTTTTTTTAATTAATCAAATTTTACATTTTTTATAGACCCAACAAAAATAAACACATTTCTTTTCGAATTGAATTTAGCGCATTTTCGGCATAGTTGTGATAGATTTAAAATTGGGTCCCCTGATCCAAAGGCAGACCAGAGTAAGCATTCTTTGTTGTTAATCCCATCCTTTCTCGTAGCCTTCATACATTAAGTTAACAATAATTAAACAACTCTTAACCACATACAATTGTCAGAATATTTTATTATTACACAGTTCGAAGTTGTTTGATTTATTCCTTAGACATAGCAACTTAAGAATCGAATACAATAAATCCGTCGACTTTCCAGCCATGATGATATATATTTAAGATTCACATTGACAAACTGGCGCCATTACTCCTAGTTCAAGCCGTTTTAAAAGTACATTTTGCCAAATCTATAATTTACATTCACACCTGGCGTGGACGATTGGTTGTATGCATGCACGTGTATCAAATCCTAGCTAATATGTTCGAAAACAACATTTACATTTTGATTGGGAAGTGCGTTAAGTTCGTAGTTCAATTGTAATTAGAGGTTCGTGTGTGACACATGTATGTATTGGGGTTATAATTGGAATAGATTTGAACGAGCAGACGCGACCCGATCCTCGGTGGTCATAACCAACTCATCCTTCACATTTAATACAGTGGCGTGACAGTTAATTCTCCTATCAATATACGTATAGTTTCGCTCTTTATAGAGTCCTATTGCAGGACAACTAACTACATACATAAGTTGGCAAGTTGTACAGATCATTGCAACACCGAGGGACAAGCACTCGTCGTGTCTTAAAATTAATTAAAGGAATACAACTATATAAATACACGCCGTATTTATTGCCAGACATTCCCGATATTTAGGTTTCCGAATTGCTGATTCAGATTTGATGGTACTGAGGAAACGGCGGGACCGGTGGTGGCAGCAAAACCGCCAGCTCCCTGCGGCTGGCCCATATTCAGGCCACTGGGCAGGGGTTGCATCAAGTTCATGGACAAGCCGCCTAGGTGCGGGTGATGTTGCTGTTGTGGCTGATGCTGCTGTTGTTGTGGAACCGATCCAAACAGTGGCATCCCGCTGAGGATGCTCTGGTTCGTCTGCATCAGGTTCGTCGCCGAGCCTTGGCCAGCGGCGGCAAATGGACTGCCTCCAGAGTTGGGAAACTGCCCGCCGCTGAAGTTAACGCCTCCAAGGCTCATGGCAGTGGCGCTGCTAATGGTCGCATTGCTGAAGGCATTTGGCGCGGCCATCACTGGCGAGTTATACATACTGACCGAGTTCGGCGGCGTCATAAACTGGTGTGGAATCTGCTGCTGCTGTTGCTGATGCATGTACCCGCCGGGCGCCATTCCCGTGAAGCCACCAAAGTTCATCTGCGGATTATGCGCAGCTGGTGCGTTGCCGTAGAGCGCGAGGATGCTGTCCTTGGAGAGCTTTCCAGACTGGTCCTTCTCGCTGCCTGTGGCGCCAAGAGATCCCTGGTTGAAGAAGTCCTGCTCCTCCTGGGCTAGCGAGTTTGGTTTCGCAGCCATCAGGCCGCCCGAGTCACCGTTGCTGCCGTTCAGCTTATCAGGCTGTCCGCCAATCGTCTCGGCACTGAGAAAGCTGGTGAAACTTTCGTTTTGCAAGTCTTGGCTGGCACTGGTTGCTGCCCCACCGCCGCCAACGCCCATCGGCTTGGTGGGCGACGACAGGCCTAAGAGGTCGCTTTCGCCGGCACTGCTATTGGTGCTGGTGTTTAGCTGGACGCGCTGCGTGGTCTTCGGGCTGCAGCCGCCGACTTGGTTGGGCTTCGGCTTGGGCAGTGGGGCGGGCAGGGGTGCGTTTTTGGAGGCCGATGAGGTCGAGGCGCTGGCGAGACGCTTGTCGGCACCACTCGACACCCCGCTGAGGCCCAAGCTGGCCTGGGAAGTCTTCTTTTTGCGCTTCTGCCGCTCCAGTTCCTCATCGATCTCCTTGGCCCAGTCCACTTTCGGTGGCGAGGGCGGCACCCACTCGCGGGCCAAGTACTTCTTGTGCTCGTACTTGGCACGGATGAAGTTCTCCAGCGCTGTGTCCGTCTGCGGACGCCGGAATCCGTCAGGCAGCTGTGCCTCGTAGACGGCGCGGGCCCGCGAGTTGCCCATCTGCTGCAGCGAGATCACCTGCTCTGGGGTCCAGGTGTCCAGGTTGACGGATTTGACGCGCGATATGTGCACGCCCAGGTTGCGGTGGATGCCGGCGCAGCGGATGCAGAGGAACATTCCTAGGTTCCAGGACGCCCAGCGAGGACCTGCGGAAGGAATGAAATCATAGTTTCACGATCACATGACACTGTTACAGTCCCACCCTACTGGCGAGGCGGCCAAGTGTTTATCTCGCCGCGGCACCGCCCCCACCTCTGTGCATTTTCGCCAGCGAAGCCAGCGTAGCACCCACATTTGTACATGTGCATTAGCAACTGGCCAATCTTTTATCAACAGCGCTCCCCTGCCGCCGCGGATTTACCCACCCTTGGCGTCGCAGTCCACGCAGTATTTGTTGTCTTCATCGCGGAGCATCTGGGTCAGAAGGGTTTGGCACTTCTCCTGGATTAGTTTCGTGCGCTGGCCTGCATTTGAGGAGCTCATTTTCTGCACTTGTTTCGGTCTCCGCTTGGCCTGTTTATAAATGTATATCAAATGGGCAGGCGACGTGGCGTGGACGACGGGAGTGTTTTTGGCTTATCTCTGCTTCACATGGATGTTTAAATACCACAAAAACGATAATTTTTACAATGGAAACTCCAATTTTTTTTTTGCCTGGTCAAAAGAAAAGATGCAGTGTTACCAGTTTTGATTCAGCAAAAAAATTTCGGCAAAATTTAGTTCCAAGCTGTTCTTAGAAATGCCATTTACACTGTTAATCAAAAAGCCATTCACACAGAACAGAAGCCAACTTTTGAAAAAAGGTTGTTTACATTTCCACAGGTTAAATTTAACTGTTATTTAGCCAATATGGACGTTTTAAGAAAACATCTCGAGTCCTGTTTAGATGTACTAAATAGAGGAGCAAAAAGCACAAGTGTAAACTGGTTAAATGTACGTAGATAACTTGGAACTTTTCGCAGGACTCTCACTTGTTGCATTTGCAGGATTTATGTGCCGCTTTATTGGAGTTTTCCACGTTGGTCCACAGCTCTTTGAGCTCACACAAGCAGATCGAATCCGCCGAAATGGTGTGCCTGTGCTTGAGCCAGATCATGATCTGTATCCGTCAGGTGGAGAGCACTATGAAGCTTGGAAGCGGCGCCTCTGTTATGGTAGCAATGTGAAGTCCTCACAAAGTTTGAACAATAATAAAAGGATTATTTGTTTCTCCAGGCCAGCCATCAGTATTTCTTGGATCGCATTAGGTGGTGCCTCAAACGCCTGATGCATCTGTGCACACCTGGCACGGTGACTGGAGTCCCAGAGCGCTCCTTTCTCAAGCTGGTGGACGCGGTCTTGGACACCTTGACCGTCTTTACTTCGCACAATGAGGACAACACTGATGCCTCACACGGTTTGCCGTCTCCCGAAGAAATCCTGTCCCTCGGCAACGAGATGCGCCTTTATATCAATGTGATCTTGGGCCAATCTCTGGGATTTGCAAATGTGGCCCTGTCGCAGGACAAAAGAGCTCTTAGTGCGCTTTGCCAAAAGGTATGAATATAACGAGGCACTTTTATATTTATTATCGAGACGTTTATTTAGGTAATCCGGGAGTGCAATGCCTTCCAAAGCGAGTGCAAGGTGCCCAGTGCTCCCTCCTTTCAGTCCAATCTTAAACTCAAGGCCATGACTCTGGAGCAGGCACTGTATCAATTGGAGGACTTTATTAACGATGCCTTGCTACGGCTGGTGTTCACCTGCTTTCTGGACTTTGAGAAGTTTTCAGTGGACAAAATACGCACCGTGCTGGGCAACAGCTCCGAAGATGATGCGGTGGCCGATGAGTTAATTGCTGACTTTGATGTGAACATAGATCGTGCCACTCAGATTGGTATATTTGCTATTGCCTTTGCTCCGAATCTGAAAAGTATGTGTTAAATTAGAACCATATTTAAATCATCCTTTGATTAACTCTTGTTGTCCTATTAGTGAAAACTATGATACGAAGCTGCCTTGCCTCCTTTGAGTCGCTGGACACCAGCCTGATACCGTCTTTACAGGCCAACGGCTCCGATTTGCACTCTGACATTCTGGAGCAGCACTTTAATGAGGAGGTATCCAAATTTAAGACTGCCCTTCAAGAAATCATCGACAGCCGCGCCCTCCTTGGCTGCTATCTGGACCTTCTATCCGCAGGTATATCCTCGAACGAAAAGGTGTACAATAAGGAGAGATTGCAAGACTTGGCTCAGATGTCTCTGCTGCTGCTCGAGCACTTTCACCTGGTGACCAACCGAAAGGTACTCACCGAAACGAAGGACAAGGTGGGTGAGGAGTACCTGCATCAGTTTGTCCGCATATTGCGAGAATGTAAGGCCATTCTCATGTGCGCATCCCAGGTGGAGCCGCAGCGTATTATCAAGCGCTTCAAGATCCTGCGCACGATCTTGCGCAAGTTGCACGGTTGCATCGGAATAGGGAAGCGCGATGAAGACAAACCTCCGCACCAAATGGGAAAGCACGTGTCCGAGGATGCGATAGATGGACAAGAGACTGATGCTAATCTAGATAACTTTACGGGCCTAACGACGGGCCAAAGCAGCATTCTCTACGAAACGGAGCGTAGAAGTCGAGTGATTAGAAGCCAGAACACCAAACCGACTACAGAAGCCATGAAAACTAAGCCTGGTTTACTAAGAAGTAAGTTCCTTTCTGATAAATAATAGTTAACTATTATAATCTCGTACGTTTTCAAAGAGGAAAGCTTGCGGACCGTCATGTTTAAGCGTCAAAATATAGCTGAGAGCAGAAAGCTCTATAACTCGATCTGCAACCAGTCAGCAGATCTGGAAATCACAGGTACCAAAGCTAGTAATTGTTTTATTATTTATTTATTTAAAAAAAAAAATTTAATAATTTTTTCCAGATATACTCGACCAACTTACAGGAATGTCCAATGGCTACTTTGAATGCTGAAACCCACTAGTTACTATTAACTTTTGTAAAATTAAGATACGCAGGACTGGAATTCAAAATTAACGTTCATCCCTGACGGAGTGTCATAGGTCAGTCACATATATACGTTATATCGACATACATACCGACACGTATGTATGGTTAAAAGGTGGTTGAAAGTCCTTTATGTCCCAAAACAGTTTTGACTGCTGTAAAAGTATAGAAATAAGGTCAATAAAATACTTAGTATCAAGTACATCGGAAGCTCATCCTTGACATTTGCGGAATATGTGAAGCTGTGGATTTAATCGCCATCGATTTTCCGCGACAAACACACAAACAGGACTCGTTGACAGTCAACAGATACACACGGCCATCGCTTGTGTTTGGCAAACACTAAACAGCAATGAAAGCACCAACCGGGGATAAGCTCACCTTGGCTGATGAAACCGAGCCACCGTCCTCGTCGTTAACTTCAAAAAAGGGAAATCCGAGAGATAAGACGAACAACAACCACCATGTGGTTCCCCTAGGCATCCTGGTCGTTCTCTGCACTGTGTATCTCATGGCAGCCGGGGTGCAGCGCAACTACAGGTACTACATCAGGCCGGGCGTGGCTGCCTTCGACCTTTCGGCCTCACATCCTTCCCAGGCCGATGAAACTACAGATGAGGAGTTGGAAGCTTCCGGGGCATCCTCCTGCCAGCAAATGGAGATATTTGGAAAGGAATCCGACCAGAAACCCTCTTCGGCGAACTTAATTTCAAAAAGACCCCATGGCAAAGCCATCAAGCGAACCAAAAGTGGATCTGGTAACGGGTTGGTGGTCGGTAAGCAGCCTCGAATAGCCAAGTACCCAGACAGCGGAGGACGAAAGAAGGAGGCTGCGGCCAAGAAGAGCAACACGGCAGAGCCAATCATCTATCTGTTTGCCCTGGTATTTATCTATTTGCTCCTTAAGGCCGCTTCGGATATCAATCAGCACTACAAATCGGTAAGACATGACATTATCTCCCTTCTCAATATATTAAGATTCGCAATTATTGCTTCTCCGGCAGCAGAACAAAGGGGACAAACGACTACGCCGCTGCTCGCTGCAATCCTATGCCCAAGTACACAAGCAAGATCGCCGGTCATCCAAAGGTATTTCACCAAAAACTTTGCCAAAATTCTAAGTCGCTGACTTGACACAATGTGTTACCGAGGGATCAAGTTATCAATTGTTATACTAGAAATATCTAAATGTATCTATTAACTGTGTACTGACTATGATGTGTTATAGCCAAAACTTCTGTATTTGTAAAGCACTCACTGTCCACTCTTAAACGAGAGCTAATGTTTCTGACTTTTTTGAAAGACTTGTATTATGTATTTAATCTCTATATATACATCTATCCTACTACCGCACTTTTTCGGGTTTACTACTATACTTATTATATGTGTGTCTTGTTTTTAATGGCCCACACTGTTTTTCTCCCCGCCCCTTCACCTCTTTGTGAAGCTGTACTGAATGTCAGGTTGTATATATACTCAAAATTAACTATTAATCTGTCCTGTATGTGTGTAATGTAAGCGTAAAATAAATCAATTACTATGTGCTTTCCTGTGATCGAAACCTATGTAGCCGTGTTAGCTTGCGTTTCATTTCTTTCGTTTAAATGGGCTTCTCCTGCAATCTGACTACTGATCTCCATATCTTCCACCCCCTCCTTTGTGCATGACCAAGTCCCCATTGAGGAGTCGCCAATCCTCCGACGCAGGCATATACTGGCCGAGGTGCGGTCAGTGTCGGTGGATCGGTACAAGTACACCAACTTAAACGAGGACTACCACCACCATAGGGTCGGTTCTCCCTTGGCCAGCAGACCAAGCATCCACTACCAGCACCACCACCACCACCAGCTTCCATTTAGGCCAAGTCCAGGTGACGCTCGATTTGGTAAAAACAAAATCCCATTTTGGCCAATCCACAAATTATGTACTTTTTTCCTTAGAGCCACGCATGAATCGCCGCTCTTCGGTCCCGATCAGCATTAACTATCAGACCGTTCACATATCCAGTCCACCTCCCGAGATGGCCAGACGCGGCTCGGTCATCAGCCTCACGGATACCAGTGCTATGCCCATCCCCAGTGGAACTGTTGTTGATCCAAAGCGTCGCGTCCGCATGATTAATCGCCACTAGAAACAGAGAGCTTTTAATCCCAAGTCAGGTCAAGTCCAAAACCCATCGAAACTGCAGAGAGACTAAGTATACTACCAACACAATAATTTTATATAGCACACACAATCTGTAGTTCTTCTTAATGCGTTCTCTTTTAATCAGTTAATTAATCAATTAGATATTCAAGTGTTTTTATAAAAGAAACGTACAAAAGAATACTCTAAGGAGAGCGGGCCCATCCTATTGTACATTATTCTACTTAGGGCAAGACTACAAACAATCTTAGGCTAGCGTAGTGTTTAGTTTGGAATTCAGTACCTATGATGTTACCATTAACTACGAACTAACTACGATCTTGTGATGCTCATTACAATGACAATTACATACAGTTGCATATGTATCTGAAAGGTCGAAGGGTTGCGGCCTGCGAAGCGGATGAAGGGGTGTATAAACTTAAATGGGGTTAACGCGTCATTGAATCTCGGGAGGAGGGCAGAGAGAAAGAGTCCTAGGCGGAGGCACGACGTATTCTACAAGGATCAATCCACCGTCATCATCGAATTTTGCGCTAGTTTCTCCTAGTTTCCATTAAATATTAAAATAAATTACGTATTTTAATTGCATGTGATTGTGGAATTGTGATTGGAAATTCTGGCTGGATTCAGCTGAGCTCGTTGCCCTCGTAGAGGCTCTCGCAGCTCTCCAGTAGGCGCAGCACCGGTGATATGTCGTAGGGGTAGAGTTGGCGCGACACCAGGCGGGATATTTGCAGACGCAGCCGGATGAGGACGCCCATCGCCTCGTCCAGCATGGCGCTGCCCATGCTGAAGCTGTGGCAGCTGTGCACAAACATCGTCCAGTTCATCCGAATGTACTTGAGCAAGCGCAGCAGATAGAGCAGGAAGCAGGTCTCGTTGCTCACCAGCAGGTCCAGCAGCAGATCCGAGCTGTTCGACGTCATCTTGAGGAACTCTAGGAAGGTGTACACCGGATTCAGCATGGCCACCAGCTCGGGGAAGGCGTTGTTGCGGAACGAGATGCCCGACGTGACGTCCAGCGTGCAGACCATGGCCTCGATCAGATGATCGTCCTGGTCGTCAAAGAGGTGAATCAGGATCTTGCTGAAGTGACATTCCGGATGGAACTCCAACGTCTGTTTGATAAATGTCTCCAGCTTGCTCAGCACATCCCGTATCGATCGCTCGATGAGCATCATGTCCTGAAAGGCGTCATAGTCGCTAGAGTCGATGGACGAGTCAGACGAATCACTGCGTATCTCCTTTACAGTCACAGCTATCGACTTGAGCACCAGCAGCACCATCTTCTGCAGAAGTGTCTTATCCATTTCGATGAGGTCCAGTGGGGCTCCTCCCACTTCTACATCACCACCGTCGCGTTTAGCATCCACAGCCGCTTGGAATAGGGTGACTGTGCCGTTTCCATATACCAGCGGCCTGCCATTATACCCGATCAGGCTGACCATGTTGTCGGGCTGGCGGCGCGGTAGCGACTCGAGAATGCGAAAGCCCCGCACATGACAGACGATCTGGTGAGCCAGCTTGCAGGTCTCCTCGGGCAGCATGTCCTGCAGCGCCAGCGTGGATCCATAGCACAGGGCCTCGTTGAAGAGGCACAGCATCTGCTTGTACACGGTGCAGGAGAGACTGTGGCTGAGAAGCAGCTCGAACTTGTCCAGCTGGGCGTAGTAGGGTCTCGTCTCGTCGATGGAGAGGTTGGCCTTTACTGAAATTATGTTCTCCCACAGCTGCAGAAAGTTCAGCACGCAGTGCTCGGCTGCATCCTGGTGTGCTGGCGCCATCAGCTCCGACATGTTCTTTACCAGCGTCGGCCACTTGTGCTCCAGCTTCTGGATGGTAATACACTTTAGGTGCGTCGTGTCGAAACTCTCAGAGTCGGTGAGCGTGACCACATGGCAGCCGTTCGGCATGGACGGGGACTGTCCTGTTGGGTGCGATTCGTAGGAAACGTTCATCTCGTCGCCAAAATGCGGCCTGTGCCGGTTCCGGCTGTCCGGTGACTCCCGCTCCGCCTCATGTTCGCCCTCTGCATCCTCCCGGAATTGCAGAGCAAAGTAATTGGTGGCCAGCGGCTGCTCCTGCACGGGAAAGTGCATGTAGCTCACGGAGGCATCCGCCGGCAGGGGAACAACGGACGAGGCTGCCGTTGCGGTATTCGCTGCCGCCATCCAGTCGTCGTCCAGAGGATGGATCTCCATGTCCTTCCACTCAACTATGCGCTTAATAATGTCCAGACTGAAGTGGATCTTCTGCACGGCGGCCTGGTCGAGCTGCTCGAAGTTGAACAGCTGGTCTACAATCTTCTGGAGCCACTCGTCGTTTAGCTCCTGCTTGGCAATCACCAGGAATGCAGCGAGCACGCGTCCCGCCAGAAATTGCACGTACGAGTTTTCGTAGCCGGCCAGCACGATTATCTCGTCGATGAGCTTGTGGTCGTTGCGGATCAGTGCGTCGCAGACGTCCATTATCCGTGTGCAGATAAAGCCCTTCGCATTCTGCTTCAGGTAGATGTCGAACAGTAGCTGCAGGTTGGAGAGAAACTGCAGCAGCTTGTTGGTGGGCCACTCCCGGAGATAGGCAATCCGCTTCTGGCCATTGGTGTCCTGTGAGTAGTGCGACTGGAACGGCTTGCGCAGCGTTCTCTCTGACACCCCGCACAGGCACTGTCGCGTCAGCGACTGCTCGAACTCCAGCATGTCGTCAACGGGTGCCGTCGTTGTCGAGAGACAGCTGCTCCGACTGCTGTTCATGTGGCTATTGCTGGTTGTGGGGCTGGCGGTGCTGCTGATGGTCAGCAAATCAGGCAATTTTGCGGCTCTGTCCACCTCATCCTTGGCGGACTCCGGTTCGGTGTGCGTGTGCGTGGCCTCCCCGTTTTGTGGCAAGATGTTGTGCACCAGACCGGACACGCCCAACAGTTGGGCGTAGGAGGCAGCCCGGGAGCTGCACGGCGTGGTGGTGGGCGAGTTGTTGGTACTGCTGGGCGTGGACAGCGAGTGCGTGGAGGACGAGGAGAGCGAAGAACAGAGGTGGCTGTTGCTATTGGCATCCAGGGCTGCCTCCCGCCGCCCGTCCAGGATGTCCGGCGGGGGCGGAGGCAGTGCCTTGGAGCCCACTTTGATCTGCTTCTCGATCTTCTGCCGCTTTGTCTGCGGCTGCTCGTTGTGCGTGCCGGCCGAGGTAGCCACCGTAGAGCAGGGGCAGACGTCAACATTGCCGCTGCCGCCAGACGCTCCGCTGCCAGGGCCCGTTCCGGCTCCAGATCCAGCTCCCGATGTGGTGTCCATGCTCGGTGACGTACCCGACGTCCTTGGAATAGCTCGTGACCACTTTCCCACTCAGCTGCAAGCGAAAAATCCGTGTGAGCAGCGATCTAGACGACAGCACGCAGCCACATACCAACGAAACGAAGCGAACGAATGCCCAAGCCAAAAGCAGCAGCAGCAACAGCTTCCGTGCTACGCGCACACAAGGTTACGTGTGCAGACTGGATTCTTGGCTTCTCGCGGGGGCGCTTCTCCGACTTTGCTGCTTGGCTATTGAGTTCTGGGGCGGTTGCTGGCGCTCTACCAGCCCCCAGGCGCATTAATTGCTGCTTCGGACATTTTAAACGATCACAATTCGGTTTTCACACACTTGTTGCTTGTTGCACTGCCCAGCGCCATGTCAATGTTTGTATTAGTTTCTCCACTCGCGCAGCTTTTCGTCGACTTTCGCAACGCGTTTCCACGGACAATCTTTTCTTTCGGACTTGGCGGCCTTTGATTGTTGCTTAAGAGATGCTTTTATTTTGGTTTTATTATAGTTTTTTTGGGAAAAACAACTGCCCTTTTCTAATTAAGATGGCGACGCGCACTTAATTTAATAGCGAATTCCAGCGGCCTGGCTACCCTTAGACTTCGTGTCGATATATCGATAAATTTTTTATTTTACGGCACGACTACCCTAAACATACAACGCTGCCATATCAAAGGATTCTTGTCGCTTTGTTTTTTAAATTATCATTGGAGCAATGGGTTTTAAATCAAGAAAACGATATTTCTATAGCGTACAAGATTGTATGATGGCAGTTTGTAAGAGGGCTATTTTTTATGAGCTCTTTTTTCTGTTCACTACCTTGATGACTGAAATATCTAGGGCTGCCGTATCGATTCAAAAAAGGGCGCCGGCAACTCATTTATTTCTAGAATTACATTATTTCAGTTATTTCTCAAACTGAAGGGCTTATCTGGAAATGGAAACCATTTAATTGTATTTTTTTTTTTGTGTAGTATAGCTAATTTTCCTTTAGCCAGATGTAATGTACAAAACAAAACAAAAGCTCGACCGACGTGGCAACCTAGTACTCGGTTGTTATTCATTTGACATTGAAGCAATTCCAGAAAAAAGGACGTTGGAAAATCGCTGCGCGAAAGAAGAACAAAAAGTCAGGGAACACGTTCTAAGTAAATTCAACACTAATTCATTAAACGCAAACAATACGGCGAAGTTGTGGCTAAGCGCTCTGCAGATTTGCCGGAGCCAGATAAAACAGCAGCTACTGTGCAGCTTTGAGCGGCCGGGATCCACGACCGTATTTAAGTGAAGTTTCGCGAGTGGCTTGTGCAGTCCACCTGTGCTCTCTTTCACGTTCGCTTGGCTCGACTAACGAGACCTGACCTATTCCGCCCACACACCGCCTTCTAATCACCAAAGGAACATGGCCGGCGCACTGCCCCCACTGACCCAAGAGCCCACCTTCCAGAAGCTGCAGGAATACTTTGACAGCCAAGGCAAGGACCTGAACATCAAGGATCTGTTTGTGAAGGACTCCAAGCGGTTTTCCAAATACAGGTGGGTTTCAGCTTCGTTAGATTACGAAATAGGGGTTTTTTAAGTTACGTGGGTATACCTACAAGCGCGCATATATCCACACGCACTCAAGATTGGGTGTATGTAGATATGTCTGCTCGTTTATGTATCCGCCATCAGTTATTCATTGAGCTCCGCACACTCCCACCCGCTTGCCTGCCTGACTTTCACCAAGGGGGCTCGAGTGTCGCCAGCCGATTTGTCCTTGCGTAAGGTCACAGCAACGACCTTAGCCGATAGCCGTCCTCGCACTTGATCCGAGGTCAAATGATTGTTATTCCCCCCATTTGTTTATCAGCCTGCGCCTGCACACTCAGAACGATGGTGAAATACTGCTGGACTACTCGAAGAACCGGATCAACGACGAAGTCTGGGACCTGCTCCTTACCCTGGCGAAGGTGCGACGCGTGGACGCCGCGCGCGACGCCATGTTTACTGGCCAGCACATCAACATTACGGAGAACCGCGCCGTCCTTCACACGGCGTTGCGCAACCGCGGCGCGGATCCGGTGCTCGTTGACGACAAGGATGTGATGCCGGAGGTGCGCGCCGAGCTGGCCCATATGAAAGAGTTCACCAACAAGGTAATTTCCGGCGTGTGGCGCGGCTGCACCGGCAAACAGATTACTGACGTTGTCAACATCGGCATCGGTGGCTCCGATCTGGGTCCCTTGATGGTCACAGAGGCGCTGAAGCCCTACGGCAAGGGCCTACACTCGCACTTCGTATCTAACATCGACGGCACCCACTTGGCCGAGGTGCTGAAGAAGGTTAACTATGAGACCACCTTGTTCATTGTGGCCTCGAAGACTTTCACCACCCAGGAGACCATCACGAACGCCACGTCGGCCAAGACCTGGCTCCTGGACTTGGCCAAGGAAGTAAGTCAATAAATATTTGCATTTAAAATAGATAATGTTATCCTCATTTTCAATTCCCAGCCCGAGTCCGTCGCCAAGCATTTCGTGGCCTTGTCCACCAACAAGGAGAAGGTCACCGAGTTCGGCATTGATAGTGCCAATATGTTCGGCTTCTGGGACTGGGTGGGCGGACGTTACTCCCTATGGTCCGCCATTGGTCTGTCCATCTGCCTATCCATTGGTTTCGAGAACTTTGAGCAGCTGTTGGATGGCGCCCATTACATGGATAACCACTTCAGATCGATGCCGTTTGAGAAGAATGTAAGTTAAGGCCCGGCTCCGTGAACCTTTGAAGCTATCATTTCTACTCCAATGGCTAGGCACCTGTTATCTTGGCATTGCTTGGCGTTTGGTACTCCAACTTCTTCAAAGCGGAAACGCACGCCCTGCTGCCATACGACCAGTACTTGCACCGCTTCGCTGCCTACTTCCAGCAGGGCGACATGGAGAGCAACGGCAAGTTCGTGAGCAAGGCGGGCAAGGCTGTCAAGTACAGCACCGGCCCGATTGTGTGGGGCGAGCCGGGCACCAACGGCCAGCACGCCTTCTACCAGCTCATTCACCAGGGCACCCGCCTGATCCCCTGCGATTTCATTGCCCCTGCTCAGACGCACAACCCCATTGCCGGCGGCAAGCACCACAAGATCCTACTTTCGAATTTCCTGGCCCAAACTGAGGCCCTCATGGCTGGCAAGAATGTCGACGAGGCTCGAGCCGAGCTTACCAAAGCCGGACTATGCGGCAACGAGCTGGAGAACCTGCTACCCCACAAGGTCTTCGTTGGGAACCGTCCGACTAACTCGATTGTGGTTAAGAAGGTCTCGCCTTTCACACTGGGCGCGTTGATTGGTATGTCAATTGGTCAGACACGCGGTCAGCGAACATCAATTAATCTCGAATCAATTTTCGCAGCGCTCTACGAGCATAAGATCTTCGTACAAGGCATCATCTGGGACATCAACTCGTTCGATCAGTGGGGCGTTGAGCTTGGCAAGCAGCTAGCCAAGGCCATCGAGCCAGAGCTGGACCACTGCAATGAGGTCTCCTCGCACGACAGTTCCACAAATGGCTTAATTAACTTCATCAAGGCCAATTGGAAGTAATTTCCTGGCTCATCGGTTTTCGTTGCAAATTAAAATGAAATGTTCACACAAAATGCTCTAATTGTTAGTAGTTATTGATACGTTATTAAGGAGGAGCCGCTGCTTATGTATACCCGTTCTCGGCACAATATTCTACTGTATTTATGAATCGAAAAAGTTTGTTTGCTTGCGTGTATCGATAAAATCTCATGTCGGAATTAGACCAAACAATTGGCTCCCTCTACTATTCGTTGTTGCACGTAGTTTCAAAAACCACAAATAAAAATTTCTGGAATTCGGTGTAGAAAACTGTGTTTGGAAAATAACTATTTCATTTGTTGTGGGCACAGAAGGAATTGGATTTAAACATAACGTACAGAGGTGCTTTAGCAGGCTAACCACCCATTGATACATCCGAGTCAGAGTCTGTCTCTACGTTAACATCGTCGGTGGCCAGATCATCGTCTGCCTCCAATTCGTCGTCTGATATACTCTTGCCGCTACCGGCTTCTTTCTGGTCCTCCAGGTCGCTCCAGTTGGTCTCAGCCTCCAAATCTTCGGCGGGTTCTTCTGCAAGTAGACGTGGGTTTATATGCGGATCTTGAAGTCGGCCTGCACTCTGCAGTACTCACCTGAATCTTCCTCTACAATCAGGGCGTTGCTGTCGTTCAAATGGTTGTCGGCATTGCGCCGCATCTGATTGATTATAAGATTGACTCGCCCCGATATCCTAAAAAGTAGGCCGCAGGAAAGATGTTTTTTATATGATTTGAAACATTCAGTGCCAGCCCACCCGACATAACTCACACAAAAACCTTATTTAGTTGCTAAATTTCGATTCCCAAAATGGAATTTCTCATTAACGATGGAAATATTTTTAATAAGGATTCTGACCATTCTCTCCTCGGCATATCGAACCATAGCGCCACATCCGGCATCGGACCCGGAAATGCGCTTCCTATTACCGCTATAGCCAGCATCACCAACCTCTTGGATCAGTGCAACAAGCCCGCTTGCGATGAAGATGTCGACATGCAGTGCATTGTCGACCTGGTCACTGCTACCATCTGCGAGGCAAAAGCTATAATTGAATCAGATCCGCGGGGTCTGTTCTGCTACAAGTATCCCAAGATGACGTTGTCGGATTTAAACATGGGCTCATCAAACATCGATGTTATAATGGCCAATGACAATCAGTCGTACTCAAGTGGTAAAACGACCTTTGTCTACGGAATGCCGCAAGAATCCGTCTCAAGTGGCATCGCGCGTAGGGATCTAACAATTGAAAACTTTGACTACAGCGATGCCATTGCTGACATTCGGGACTTTATCAGCCGGTGGGCATTGTCGCCGGACACCAAATGCGTTGTGACCAGTAATCCGCTTCGCCACGAAGTTCCCGTCAAGGGCACCATTTTCTTTGTCGATGCCCACTTTTCACAACCGACGCCACGGTGTCCTAATCCCTTGGCAGTGGCCAAGGTGCGATTCTTTGTAACCGTATCGAAGCTAATGATGCGAAGCTATCCTATTATGATCACCTATCGCTTCGAGGGATACAACACGCTCTACTACGTCCTGGGCGAGCGATCGCTCAACTTATTCCACTTCCAGCGCTTCTACATCGACACCATTCTTCACACCAAGCTGACCTTCTTCGCGGCGATAGCAGAGTGTCGCCACGGCACCGTAGAGAACCCCAAGGACAATGTCAGGCCAAAGAAAAAGACAAAAAGCCCGGTGCGAAAGTAACTGAGCTGCTCGTGTTTTTCGTACTCACTGTAATGCCTCCGACAAGCACCGCATTCGCTGCTCCGCCACACCCAAACATACTTCTAGCTTCTCTCGCAGCGTCTCCTGGTCTTCGGACGTCAGGATACTGGTGTGGGTGGAGGTCAGTATGTTAAGCCAACGCAGACCAGACCTTACACTGAAAGGAACGAATAAATGAAGTAAAAATTTTATGTAGTATTTTTAATCAGATAAAAACTACCTTGAGTGCTTTCCCTGCAGTAGAATGGAGAGCTGGTCAATCAACGGGCTGATGTATTCGAGAGGCAGTCGATCTAGAGTTAGCTGTATCGTTTCTGTATCGTGCGTGCTCAGGACCGAATTAATCATTCTGAAAAATAAAGAGCATCAGTCAATAACCATGACGGACCCCTTAACATTACTTCTTACTCCTTATCTTTGCTGTGCAAGGCCTGCATAAGCAGCTGAGTCTTGCTTTGGGTCTGCAGCTTACCGCCACTCAGCTTGGTGGCATGCATCTGCAAGTGTTGCAAGCGAGCCTCCATAGGCACCTCATTCTGCACCTTTTTCTGGGAGACGGGCAGCGCGCTGTTGTATTCAACGTTCTTTGTGCTCACCACCGGCTTCAGGACCTTGGTGGCGGCGTTGAAACCCAGCTGCTCCTTGCCCTTCTTCTTGGCATACAGTTTCTTTGGATCGGCGCGCTCGATAACGTTTAGTTTCTCGGCATAGTTGGGGGTAAAGTGTTCGAACTGCAGTTGCTGGCGACTTCCGTAGCCAAAAAGGATTTCGTGGGAACGATTTGAGTCGGTGACGAGATGGGCCGCCACAGCCATGATAGGTTCCACTGTCTCGGCGCCATCCGACACGATTTGCAGCGATACTTTGGGCTTCACAAACTTCTCGGCGGATAAACTGTGGCAGGGAGAGAAATCAGTTGGTCACCTTACTTAATGATGAAATGTTCTTACCTTTTGACATTCAGCAGGTATATGTGAATATTTCCATTTCGCGTTACACTGGCAACACGAAGCTGGCCATCATCACGTATTTCACTGGCCAGGCTGTAAGCCAAATCCTCCATGAGCAGAGTGCACACAGAGGCCTTGTTCTTACCCTTATTTTCGATCTTCCAGAAGCAGATAACGCGCTCCATCTTAGCCGTGGTCAGCACAAATTCCGTATTGTCCGCGCACACTACAGCGGTAATGGCGTTTATTTCGCCTGAATGGCCGGTGAACGTCTCCACCAGTTCCTTTGTCTTAACATCGTACACCTTTAGCTGGCGGGAGCCCACTGCCAGAGTGTGGCTCTTGGGCAAATAGGCAATGTTTTGTGGCTTCTCCGGTCCCACCTGCCAGTCGCCGATGCAGCGCTCCTCTGTCAGCGACCAAACGAGCGCCCGGCAATCTGCGCCCACCGTGTATAGGTGGTCGGCATTATCGTAAGCAATCGAGGTGATCGGTCCATCATGACTGTCACCACTTAGTGTGCGTGTAATCTGCGAGACGGGAGGAACTTTGAATATCGAATTTTGTTTGCATTTTAAAGAGCATCCACCCACCTTTGCCTCTGCCAGCGAGTATATGACTAAGGCCCCCTTCAGCGTTCCCAGAGCAATGTGGAGCTGATCGTTGGCTGCATCCTGGCTCTGCACACTCTTCCGTGACTTCTTGGAGCGTGGACCGGCCACAGAGACCCACGCGAGCGCTGTACACGGCCCGGATACCTGTAAATTAGGCGTGAACTCCTGCTTAAGCGTGCTCGTCTCCGTGTCCCATATTCGCAGGATGCCCTGCTCGTCCACCGAGGCAAATAGTTGGCCACCATTGGGCGAAAACCCCAACACGTGCTTCTTGCCCAGCGACATCGTTCTTTTTTGTTTTGTATTAGAGATGCGCGTAAAGTAGTCGCCGTCGAATCACGCACGAATATTCTTGGGCCCTTCGTGTCACGCGTAACTCGGTAATAATATTTTTTATTTAATTTTTTTTACAGCACTAAATGCACAGAAACATTTTTTTATGTTTCTAAAAAATCTTAAAATTTTAATTGGAACCCAAAATGTATATAACATAAATTAATAAATTAATTCACGATATTAGATTTAAGATTTAAACAGAGGCGGCTATCGATAAAACTATCGATTGCTCTCCCATCCAGAAGGTTCGCAGCCATCAGAACGATTTTGAGGTTATAACTTTATCTGGAAATTACCGACTGACTCCGTGTGAAATTGAAATCTGTGTACAAAAATGGCTTTATCCGTTCCCAAAGCTCCCGGAGTGGCCCAGATGCTCAAGGATGGCGCTCGGGTAAGTGCAACAAGGTGAAAGCACGCGTCCAGAGGCCTGGCCGGCATCGGTTTCATTTAAATTCGGCTGAAAATGAAAACATGCCTTCGCTGGGAGTCGCGTGATTAGTCATCCTCATAGAGCATGTCGCACATCTGAACGAAAAATGAGTAATTTGATGACTTCCAACGTATCCTTAGATGTACAGCGGTCTGGAGGAGGCCGTCTACCGGAACATCAGCGCCTGCAAGGAGTTCGCACAGACCATGCGCTCCGCCTACGGGCCGAACGGCATGAACAAGATGATCATCAATCACATCGAAAAGCAGTTTGTGACCAGTGACGCCGGCACAATCATGCGCGAGCTGGATGTGGAGCATCCGGCCGCCAAGCTGATCGTCATGGCTAGCCAGATGCAGGACGCCGAGGTGGGAGATGGCACCAACTTTGTGGTGGTGTTGGCCGGTGCTCTGCTGGAATCCTCAGAGGATCTGCTGCGACTGGGCATTACCACCGCCGAGATTGCCGATGGCTATGAGAAGGCCTTGGAGAAATCGCTAGAGATCCTGCCCAAATTGGTCAGCCACAAAATTGAGGACTACCGCAACGTGGAGAAGGTCAAGGATGTTCTGCGCACCTCGATCATGTCGAAGCAGTACGGCCAGGAGGACTTCATCAACGACCTGGTGAGCAAGGCCTGCGTCTCTATCTTGCCCGATGAGGGTACCTTCAACGTGGACAACATTCGCATCTGCAAGATCTTGGGCAGTGGCCTGCTCAAGTCAGAGGTGGTGCGCGGCATGGTCTTCAAGCGCTTTGTAGAGGGCGATGTCACCTTTGCCGAGAAGGCTAAGATTGTGATCTTCTCGTTCCCCGTTGACATCATCCAGACGGAGACCAAGGGTACGGTGCTGATCAAGTCGGCCGATGAGCTGCTGAACTTCTCGTCCGGCGAGGAAAGCCTGCTGGAGAATCAGATCAAGGCTATTGCCGACACCGGCGTCAAGGTGGTTGTGTCTGGCGGCAAGGTCGGCGACATGGCCCTGCATTTCCTTAACAAATACGGCCTGATGGCTGTCCGACTGAACTCCAAGTTCGACCTGCGTCGTCTGAGCCGTTCCGTGAACGCCACCGTCCTGCCGCGCATCACTACACCCAGCCAGGAGGAGTTGGGTTACTGCGACAAGGTCTGCATCGAGGAGCTGGGCGACACCACAATTGTGGCTTTCAGGTGGGTCAATCAAAGGAATACCTGAGTACGAAATAGCTTATTTCTTTTAAATCCCTTGCAGAAATGAGGGCAAGGACTCGCGTATTGCCACCGTGGTTATTCGTGGCGCCACCGACAACTTCATGGACGACATCGAGCGTGCCGTGGACGACGGTGTGAACAACTTCAAGTGCCTGACTCGTGATGGACGCTATCTGCCTGGAGCTGGTGCCACCGAGATCGAGTTGGCCACCCAGTTGTCCGCATATGCCGATACTCTGCCCGGCTTGGAGCAATATGCCGTGCGCAAGTTCGCCAACGCCCTGGAGGTCTTCCCCAAGGCCCTGGCCGAGAACTCTGGCATCAATGGCACCGAGATCGTCAATCAGCTGTATTTGGCCCACACCTCAGAGGCCGGCAAGACCATCGGATTCGACATTGAAGCGGAGAAGGTGGCCACAATCGATACCACAAAAGCGAAGATTTTCGATCTGTACCAGGCCAAGTTCTGGGGTCTCAAATACGCCGTGGGTGCGGCCACAACCATTCTGAAGGTGGACCAGATCATCATGGCCAAGCGTGCTGGAGGTCCCAAGCCGCGACAGGCTGCCGGCAGCGATGACGAGAGTTAAGCGTCTTCTCTGTGATTCGTCGTATAACTATTACTAGTTTCTCCAGCTCCTTCTTCGTATTTTCATAAACACGAGTCCCATGGAAATTATAAATTTCATTAACCCCCCTCTCACCCACTCAATCACATACACGCAACCATGCACACAGTTTCTTGTATTAATAAAACTTAACTTACGAAAACTGATCAAGCTGAGTGTTATATTTTTTGTGAAAGAAAACAAAGTGTTCTTTTTTTTTTGCACCGAACCCGGTGCCACCGCTAGATAACTGAGCTAAGTAGTTATCGCCTTTTATTTTTTTGGAATTTAAGCAAACGATTATTCATTTTGTTGAGTACAATACAATATTTCAAATGCTTATTCGCAGATACATTTCAATAATATTTGTGAGGACTCGTCCCCGTTTGCGTCGCAAAAGATTTGTATTAATTTTCGAATAAAATACGATCTCGTTGTCTCGCTTATCAATTGAAGTGAATAAAACGTGTTAAAGTGTGTTCGATCGATGATCATGACTCTCTGAGTGGTAAACGTGCCGGTGATATTCTTTCTAATTTCGTCTATTCATTTTTTAGTAGTTGAATGAAACATTTTCTGTGAATTGGGGACGTTCATCGAGCCATCCGTGCTCCATTGGATGCCTCGACCGTCCGCCAAACAGATATAAACGCACAATTATGATGAGGTTGCCACGTGAAGTGTCCGTTAAATCGAAAAACTGTTCTATCCGGAATTTGTTCAAGCTTGAACTTTGAGAATGGTTTCCAAACCAACTGCAGTTTTGATTTGTAGTTCCTCAAAAGAGTCGGAATGTCGGTTCTGGACCACATTTTGCTGTTTGCTCACGACAGCAAACTGGAGTTCAGAACCTCGTATACAGGTTCGAAAAAGGAAATTATTTCTGCCCAAAAATGTGTGATTCTTAAAGTTCACTCTGTTCGAATTTTGTCACGTTAAGAACTAAGCACGACGCCAATTATCAAATTATTAATTAAATGCAACACTGGAAGAGCCGATTCATTAAAATTAAAATATTTACGTTTTTCCCAAAAGCTTTGTTCGAATTGGAATTCGAAGTTCACTATCTATGGAAATCATAATTTATATTCGAATGCAACATGCAACATGAAATGTAGGTACGACTGTGTGTGCTCTCCCTACCGGATAATCATAATCTCATTCCAATACCATACAAATATGCCCTATTCCATGTTAGATTGTACAAAAATAACTTGCTTTTGGTTTTAAACTTGTCTCTCATGCCAATTACATACATTGCGCTCAAAATATATATTTAGTTTGTGTGTGAATATCGTGTGAAAGTAAGGTTTCAGTGTAGTTGGGTAAGTGGGGGGTAGTGTGTCGAATGACTTTCTTTTGAGAGAGGGGGAAAAATCACACATTCTTTTTGTATTTAGTCATTTCCGCTAAACTGGTGAGAAGCTGACAGTCTTCGGTTTCATCGGATTCTTGCCGGGATTTAAGGTTGAAAATAACGGTAACAAATGGGTAGACTGAAGCGAAGTATTGGCTTTTAAACAAAACGCTTTCATTATTATTTGAATATTTGCTGGATATTGGCAAGAATACGCCATAGTGAGAATTAAATTGGAGAAACTACAATCTAAAGAGATAAGTATTTGATTATTCTTTCGATTCTTTGGTATTATATGCTCTCGCTGCGTTACTGCAACAGTTTGTAATATATTTAATTGGACTAATAAAAACTTGATAATAAACGCACTAAACATTGCGATAAGTTCAACTAGCTTGTTTGTGTTAAAGCTTTTTAACGTAATAAGATATTTGCGTATATCTGTCGATAGTTTCGATCCACGCGCTGGTGGTTAATAATAAGCTTCAAAATACATACATTTTCAATTCAACTTGTTGTTCTGCTTCTTCTTAATCTCATCTCGTTATCATCTCAATTTTCAATGTTCAATTTTCTTCAATAAATATAAGAGATATTCTCGAAATAAGAAGGCAAAATATATGTATTTCTGTTTCTGTTGTGTTTTCTTCGTTTATTGATAAATTTGTATGTCGGATTACGTTGATAGTTGTTGGTATATAAGAGTATGTGTGTTCCGGTTTATACTTCGGCTTAGGTAGTTTAGTAGTAGATGCTAGAGTCAGCGCATTAATTGTCGGTATAGTTGGGATATTCGTGTACATTTAACAGCATTACTAATTGGGAAGGAAACAACTTTCTGATATTTTCATAACAAATGCCTCGATTCTAGTTTTGGAATTGGAATTGAAATTGGATTTGTTGGGTTCCTCTGTTTCTTTTCGGACATTACACGGGGTACACATTGATATATCGAGATATATATTCATAAATATATATATATATATATATATATAGATTCCTTGCAATCGGAATACAAACTTCTTGTAACTATATTGCTTATGACAATCGTAGTTATTGTTGCTTTTACACAAAGATATATTGATCCAGGTGGCGTTGACTGGTACACACACATTCGCTTCTTAAATCCATCTTGCTAAACTAAAAATAAACTAATCGTCCGCCGGCCTTACTCGCCTCGTTCTCTTCCTGCTCCTGCTCCTCCTCCTGGGACATCCTCCTTAGAGAACGGTGCAGGATGACTTCTCGCGGAACGGATTCACCTTCTGGCTGGTGAACCCAGTCAGCAGGTAATCCTCCTGCTCGTGCTCCGTGATGTACTTCATCATCTTGGCGCACGACTCCGAAACGGTCTGGCGCTCAATGGCCGCCTCCCGACGCAGCTGGTCCACGACGATGCGCTGCTGCTGCAGAGATGATGACATTACGTCCATGATGGCGGTCTCGGATAGGCCTATGGTTGAAAAGTTTCTCAGTGATACTGATTCTGGGAGATATGCAATTACGGGTTGGTGTGTAAGTTGTGCTTGTGTTTTATACTATTTTTTTTTTCTTTCTTTTTTGTGTCTTATCGAACTCAGGGACTCTGAATGTTTCGGGGTATGGTGGTTTTGGATGAATCTTAATGGCTGGCTGGAAATAACAAAAGAGCGTTGCGGCATGGCCATGGTTTAGATAGTATCTTATTAGATAGTAGCGTTTCCCACACGGTTACAACATTGATTTCTATGTAAGATGCCAGATTACAGTACAGAGACAGTATTAGAAGGAAAGTGTTAGATTTGAAAGAACAGAGAGGACAGCAGGCTACATTGGTGAGTCACGTTTGCTACTTGCACACACATTGAGACGCGGCGCGAACGGCGACCCATGTGAGGATTAGTTTAATCGATCGCATTCGCATTGCTGATTAATTTGTATCCAGAGCCTAGCTGGAAACCTTGACACTGTTCTGAGCAAGTGCAAGGCTGCTTACGGCAGAAGGGGTTGGGTTGCACATGGAAAACAGCGTTACATATGCATATACAGAAGAAGGCACTTTGCTGTTTGGAAACACCCAAGTACATACACATGTACATACGAATGTACTATATACTTTTTGGGCACAAATCAGTAGCACACACGCACACACAAAAACGTATATGTTGGGACAGGAGGACAGTGCAGACTTCGGGCGGATGCACACACAACACACAAGCTACAATTAGCACACAGTTTTAGTAATTTACCAGCTCCGGGTTATATGTTTTTTTATTTTCGAACGCTTCAGGAAATCGGGCAAAACGTTTGACAAATAAAAAGTGGATACACACCCGAAATGGTGATGAGCCTGGCTGCGATAGTCGAAGCTGCGCCTATCGATAGGCACGGCCAGTGCGATGAATGCACGGTGCCACCACCATAGTTGCTGTTGTTCCGCAAAAAAAAAACATCCAGCCAATTCTTTGAACCGCCGAATGCTGATCTCTGCCCAAGAATGATGGCCAAGGACAAGGGGCTGGCCGTTGCCGGAGCGTTGGCTCCTCTGCCGGTCACCATCGAGTGGTCCGCCGAGGAGGAACTGCAGCTGTTCCACGCCATGGAGGGACTGCGGCCGGTGGGCATCAACAAGCACTTTTACATGTCAGCTATTGCCCAGCGCTTGTCCAAGGCTCTGAACCGCGAGATGCCCAGCGAGCTGATCTGGCGCCACCTGGGCACCATGTACAAACTGAAGGAACTGGACGACCTCGAGTCGCTGCCTTTTCCCAACGAGGAGCGCGAGTTCAGTCTGCCGGAGCAGGACTACGGAACGTTACAGACCAAAAAGGCTGTGGAACTGAATGCCATCGAAGAGGCAGGAGCAGATGCCCCAACGCCAGTTGCAAATTCTACTTCCTCCGCTGACAGCAATGGCAAAGGTGAGCCGGCACAGTATTTACAATATCTATTTCTACAATGTTTTGTTTCCAGCTCCACCTGCTACCAAAGCCGCTGTGCTATCGAACTCCACTAAGGAGGCCGAGAAAAAGGCCAAACCAGTGGATCTGCCCAAGCGCCCAGCAAAGCGCACCCGCGGATCCATGTCGAATGAATCCATCAGTCCCTCTACCACGCCACCGCCGGTGCAGAGCAACAAGCGCCGTCGCATTTAGGGACTACGAACTCTCGAAATGGACAATTGTTATGACAAGTTTTAGTTCACTAGCTTTACTGTACATAAATAAACGGATTTATTCTTCGAATTCGTTGTTCGACTCTTCGTTGGAACCGTCCTCGTTGTCGGACGAAACTCCACCGGTGGCATTTTGCATGTTGACCAGGAGCGACTTAAGCAGGCGCCTATTCAGATGATCTGTCTGCGTCAGTTCTCGGGCCGCCTGGGGCGGGGCCTCGGCGTCTGCCGGCGCCGCGGGGTTTCCAGCTGGTGGAGTCGGTGACGTGGACATTGCATCAATGTGCTCCAAAACAGGCATATTTTGCATTTATCTGCCGATTCCCCCTAAAGGTGTTTTTATTAGGTTTTCTATGACACACTCTGTTTTTAATCGTCGGAATACTAATCGAAGTATCGATTCCCTATTGCGATCACTAAAATAGAGTTGTCAAAAATGGAATATTTTTTTAATTCTTAAAAAATGCAACAAAAACGCTGTTAAGGGAAAATAAAAGTATTAATATAAGATGTTAAGTTTCTAAAAATTAAAATATGCCTTTAGTTGTAAACAATTCCAGGGACAAAAAGCTATCGATATTTTCTCCCAGTCCATCCCTTACCGAGCCAGCTCCAATCAGACCGATTCTCCCGCTCGAATTTAATTTTTCCGGAAAATAAACATATCTTAATTCGAAATATGTTCGAGCCCGAAACGGAAGATATGTTGCCACGATCCGCTCCCAGGCCCAGTGCGGCTGTTCCTATCGGCCATACCAATGAAATAATCCGACCCACAGTGCCAGAGGTGTCCATATTGTTCGGCCAGCCGCCGCAGCAGCAAGAGCCGTTGATGCAGATGCAGATGCAGACTGCACAGGAGCAAGCTCCACGTCCTGAGCCCACTTTTGCCTCCTGGAAGAAGCAAATGCTGCCCCGAGTCAACTTTTCACCCATTCTAACCACAGAACTGGGACCACGCCCTGCGCCCACCAGCTGCATGAACAACAACTTGGTTGCTTCCTCCAACGAGTACGTTGTAATCCCCAGAGACCGTCACTACGCTAATGAAGTAGCACCGTGTGCCAGTAGCTCTGTAGGAATGTACAGCGAGTCCAAGAAGCATCAGTTCCAACAGGCTCGACGTTTGTCTGCTCCGTCCAACTCGGATGTTCTAACGATTTGTGCTGGTACACAGACGGATGCCGTGAATCTAACGTCTCCACGAACTTCGTTGCCCTCGGTGGTCTACTCGGACATTGATGTTAGCAATCTGGTGAATAAAAACGACCTGGCGACTGTGGTGTCGCTTCTGGAAACCATGCGGCAGGAGCAGCAGCAGTTGAGGCGTCTCTGCGAGACTCTATTGAAGGAACAGCAGGCTAAGGTTGAAGCTGTATCAAAACCCAGCAGGGCAACTGCTAGCCAGTGCGATATTTTGACGTCGTCTAATAATAATAATCATGGTGGGTAAACAACCAATAAAAAGTGAAAAAGTCTATGTAGAGATTATTATTTCAGGCAAGCGCATAACACCCACTGTCCAGGACTACATAGTTGAGGAGGAGGAGCCTCCAGCACGTGTGATTCCCCAGCAGTTTCAATCACCGCGACCCACTCCGCCCATGGCTCAGTCTACAGGCTATCGGGCAAATACACCCCAAGGCACAGCCAAGCGGATTCCTCAGCTTGCCAAACCAAACACTGAGAAGAGCATGGTGATGAACGAGTTGGCACTCAAGTACCTGCGGCAGCCCGTCGACGAACTGATGAAGGATATGCGCTTGGGGGCTTCACCCAAGTCACCCAATAACGCGGAACCCCTACGTCAGATCGACAATCTCACCCACACGCCAGTGCAGAGCAGCAGTCCAAACGACATATCGAATGCGTCTTACAAGTATCTGAAGAAGTACCGCCTGCTGCCCGAGGAGCAGCTGGACTATGCACGGTCGCCACAATCGCCGCTGGCTGCTCCGCCGCAAATGCAACTCGATTTGGAGAATATCAGGAACCAGCCGAAACTGATGTGAATAGAGTCTTACTTTATTTGTTTTGTTACTATGTATGCGGTTTAAGTGGAAATATATATTTTAAATACACGGAATAACGGACACTCGTTCTGGGATGGCACCATCCTGACTGCACCATCCCGACTGCACCAACAACAAAGGCAACCACACTTTGCTTACAAAAAACACAATATAGACGACAATATAAGTATATAAACGGGCTAGAGCTAGAGGTCCTAGCGCAGGACCAACTGCAGCTCGGCAGCGGATTGCAGAAGTACCTTCAGGCCCTGCATGAAGCCCGCACACTGCGCAAAGTCCGTGCCGAAGGCAATCCGGGTGTGGATCTCCATGGCATTGGCATAGTCTGCTATTTGGATGTACTGAACTATCTGATTTAGATATTGCACCGTTGTGGGAGTAAGCTGCAGCAGAAGAGGATATTTGAATTAAGACTTGTTGAACTAAGTAGCCTAAGCTCCTCACCTTGCCATCCCTCAAGCAGTCGTAGAGATTTTCCAGTCGTTTGACAACATCCACAAACTTGCGTTTTGTGCGCTGTAAATAAATAAATAGTATATAAAAAATTATTTATAAATAAATAAATATCGCTTTAACTCACCGGATCATTTGTTGCGCTCAGGCAGCGATTCTTTAGCTCCTCCAGGACCGTCTGCAAATAAATATATTCCTCGGGTAACGGAGGCTTCTCCTTGGGCGGCTCCGGCTGGCGTTGCTGCTGCTGAATGGGAGCTGGCTGCTCAGTGTACCCAATGGTCTGCTGCTGACCCTGCCAGTTCTGCTGCTGCTGAGGAATACCTGCCTGCAAGTTGAGTTGTTGCTGGGGCTGGAGGTACGATTGCTGCTGCTGGGGAAGGTTGTTGTTGAAGGCAGCCGGATTGTAGTAAGCATTGGGCACTCCTCCTGATGGTGGCGCATTCTGCAAGAAATATTTCATAAATTAATCATAATTTGTTGAAAGATAACCCACTTTAATACCTGATATTGAGCAGGATCCACATATCCATTTTGATTTTGATTGGGATCGCCAGGGAACAGGGGATGGAAGATAGGTGCCGCACTTGGCTCAGCCACTGGTTTCGGCTTGGGCTACAAAACGACCCAAAATTTATAGATACAGAATTGAGTTTGGTTACACTACTTACTGTGCGCGAAGATTTAAGGGCTGGCGGATCATTCCAGCCTGGCGGTGGCGTGGGATTGCGCTGCACATTCTGGATGATCGGGGCTGGCGCTGCTTGTGGCTGCATCGTTTCAATCGGATTCACTCCGGGCAGAAACGAATTCTGCGGAGCCGCACTCATAAATGGCGACGGGTTGTAGGCCTGGGCCGATGCTATCGGATTCGGATTGAATGAGTTACTGTTGTAGGTTGGTACGCTAGCCGGCTGGGGAACGGGTCCAGGTGCTGCACCGCCGCTGAAGGGGACAGCCGATGGAACGGGTGCTGGAACGGGATTGTATGGCATACCGTAGGAGCTGGTGGGCGCTGCCACAGAGGGATCCAGCACATATTTGGACCGAGCATGAAGTCCAGTTCCGCCAGACGGCGGTGGTGCTCCTGCTGCTGCTGGCGGTGGGCCACCAGAGGAACTGGCATTACTCAGCGGTCGCGGTGGGTGCGCCATTAGTTCTGGCTTCACGGGTTGCGGATTGAATATCTGCGGCTGTGGCTGGGCACCCGGATAGGTGTTTGGCACCTGAGGCGCTGGTGTCGGCCAGCCCGGCTGAGCATACTGATTGGTGGTCGGCTGTCCATAAGGCAGGGGCATTCCCGATGGTTGCGGCTGAGAGAATGATCCTCGGCCCCTTTGCTGCTGATAGCCAAGTTGGGCTGCTACAGCTGGCTTGGGCTGGACGTAATCGAGGTTGACGGCATTGTTGATGCGATCCCGTAAGTTCTGCAGGACATCGTTCTCGCTCGCAGCTCCGCCACCCAGTGTGGTGATGTACTGCAGGGCGGCTGTGAGGGCTCCCTGCGAAGCCAACAGGCCACCGTACTCCGTTAGGAAGCTGGCAAAACGACCTGCCAGGTCTACGGCAATGCCTTGCTGCTCTAGCGACTTGCACATAAGCATTACTACCTCGGCTAAGTCCTGCAGCTCGGTGGTGTTGGGCTTGTAGCCGGCGTTCTGCTGCTCCAGGCGCTTCAGCTGGTACCAGGCGGTTACCAGCTTGTCGATACTGCCGGCACAAATGTAACAGAGCATGGCATTGCGTGTATACTCAACGCTAGAAGCACATTCGCTCAGCAGACGATCGCCCAGTCGCTCACAGATGTCTACCACCTTGCGCTCACTGTGCTTCAAAGCGGCCACCAGAGCCTCCTTCCATGAGTCCACAGTGCAGCGATTGACAAAGTCCAGCCAGTCACGAGACACCAGAGCGGAAATCACGTGCGAGAGCTCGCTCTTCTGCTGCAGCAAGTAGCGCGTTTGGGTGCGAGTTAGAGTCTCGATGCCAGCTGTCGAAGCGATGATCAAAGCTTCCGGTATGCGTTGCGCCTCCAGACATAGCTCAACGGCAGCCTCCACATTGCCAGTAAGTATGGCCTCAGCGATCAAGCTGTCAGAGTCTGCAAAAGTAAGGTTTTTAGTAGCATAGAAAGGGAGCAACATGTCTAACTTACGATCACCACTGGGAATCTTAAATTGGGGCCTCGGAGGCGTGGCAAAGTCGTTGTGATTTTGGGAATCGATAATGGCGTTTCCATCCTGCGTTTGCTGTTTTATAGAGAAGGATATTTAATTAGTTATAGCCAATAACTTGTTGTCTTTATATATTGACGAAAGAACTTTCCACTGAAAGTTTATCTTGGTAATTTCCTGTGAGCAAGTCTAAGTAAGCTCCTTACCGAATTATCAGTGCTATAGTTAGTACTCTGATCGCAGCCCTCAACCTCCGAAGAGTCGCTCTAGACCATTGTCGCATGGCATGGCATGAATGTTAGTATGTTATCGAATAGAAATATACATGACGAGATGAACATACGTGGAGATTGATAGTGCGCACAGCGATGTTTTTTCGGTACTGATAAGGGCCCAAGTCGTATAAATACTTACATGGGTCAGTGTTGAGATGCGGGTCGTCAGAGTATCCACATCCGATTGCGAGTTTGTCTCAGTTTCCCTGATAAACTTGTTGAACTTGCTATCGATGTCGTCTTTATTATAGCCTTAAATAATAACGAAATCTTTAGCGTTTTTCTTTTAATATTTAATGGTTTCGACTTACCCAAGAGGTTGAGCATTTCCTCCTTGGGGTTCAGCTCAAAGTTCGCCTTGATAAAGTACCAAATGTAGCGACCATGCTGATCCGCAGTCTCATCGGCTCTTTGCCGGCAGTATTCCGAGTAGTTGGCATCGGCCAGTGAGCGCTCCAGCGCATTGGCACGCTCCACTAGAGCTGCCTCCGTGGTCAGCTGCTGCACCTTTACCTTCCTGGAGGTGCCATCAAAGCTGACTAGCTTGCCACCAAACTTTAGTAAAGAAAAGCGTCATATTTAATGGGTTTTTAAACCAGTGAAGGTGTAAACTCACCCCAAAGGCAACGCCACAAGGGCGCTTCATCCACTTAGGAGCGACCGACAGGTCGTGATAGACCACTTGCGTCGTCTGCTGGGGTATTGGGTCCTGCGCGAACTGATCCATGCCCGGGAATGAGTCAGCAATCTTGTTGGAGGTCTGCACCAGCTGATGAGTGCCGCCATGCAGAGAGTATATGGACACAGCTCCCTCCAAGCTGGCGCTGGCAACGAGCGCAGGATTGCGTGGACAGAACTGCACGTCGGAGTACCAAGAAGCAGTGGTGGCCACCTCCGAGAGGATTTCGCCCTCGGGTATCTTAGTGTTTGGATTCCAGCAGTAAATCCGGTTATCTTTGCCGCATGATACCATTAAGTCATTGTCCTGCTGGCACCACGACATACCCAGCACTCCTCGCTCGTGGATCTGATATGTTTTCGCGGGAGCCGTGGCATATCGCAGATCCCACAGCTGCACGACCGGCGCCTGATCGTCCTCGGAAGCCAGCCAGACCTGCGTTGCCGCCTCCGGATGCCACTCGATAGCGTGCCATCGCACGCGGGACTGCGAGTCAGAGAGCTTTATGATCTGCTGGCTCTTGCGCAGATCCCAGATCACGCAACGTGAGCTAAAAACGGAGGCCAGGATGTGCTGTACCTGCCGGTTCCATGCCACGTTCTTAACGTCCTCCGCCGGCTGGGTCTTGGCGCCGGGATTCATGTGGGTGGCCGGGTTGTTGAGGTCCCAGATGTAGATCTCCGACTCGGAGGCGCACGAGGCAAGCAGGTTTGTCTGGAAGGGATTAAAGTCCAGCCCACTGACAGCGCCAGTATGCTTGTCCTGGCGCGCCAATAGTGGCTCCTCATTGCCAGCGAGCAGCTTAGCGGCTGAGTATATGCTGATTTGCCCCGCCTCGCAGCCACCGACAATCAAACCACTGGGATGTGGCCCCACTGGGCTCCAGATAAGTTTTTGAAACCTTTTAAAACGAAGCCTGGCTTAGGGGAAATGTTTTAAGGGCAACTCCCATTCAAAACTTACTTGTACTGGCTGGCCACGCTGGCCTTCAGCTCCAGGTCGTAGGTGGCATCGCTGAAGTTCGGCGAGTACACCTCCAGGGTGGAGCTCGCATTGGAATCAAATTGCTGGGCGGCGGTGCCGGCGGCCAAGAGTATTTGCTGCTGCTGTGCCGGCGACCAGGCGATGTTCACCGTCTTCTGCAGTTCCTTGATCTTCATGTTGCAAACACCGTTCGAACTATGAGTGTAATCAGTTACAATAATTAAATGTGTTAAACGAAGCTGCTATCTGTGGTGCAACATCAGAACGAAATTGTGTCACATCCAATTGGAGCGCGCCCCGTCATCACTTTTTCCCCATTGGCATCCGCGCTGCATATGTGGCCCAATTCCGCCCGCCGCCCACTACAAACATTTACTTATGCTTACTTTCCAACTTACACACAATGCGAATGGAATTTACAATCGCTTCCGATGGATAAACACTATTTAGGGCTTAAAAATAACTCGAAACTTAAATATTTTTAAGAATTTCGGCTGGAACAGCCAGTGTGACCGCAACGCAAGTAGAGTAATTTACCAATCGGAATGATAGAATATACTAAAAAGAGCGTTCGTGAATATACATACCACAGGTTCCGCTATTTTTAAATGAAATTGTTCAAGTTTTTCAAATGTTAATTGAAAAGAAGAGAAATAATGAAGACATACTTTAATTCAAGAACTTGAACAATTTATAATTTTTATATGCAATGCAAGTATTTATTATGCATCCAATCAGATCAGTGCTGTCCACTTACTGCTTTCAAGTAGCATTTAGTTCTTCAAATTTCCACAGGCTGGCAGCCCCCCGGCAGTTGTTGCTCTCGTGCTGATGAAACTTTGCCGAATTGCATTTGCAGGGAACTCCGTCTGTGTTTATTCGTACTCAAAAGCCCAACAAAAATGTCGAAACGTGTGCAACCGGCGTGGCAAACCCCCCAGGCGGCGGTCCGGCCGAAGCTAAAGCTGTTCAACAGCCTGACGCGGCAGAAGGAGGAGTTCGTACCGCTGGACGGCAACAATGTAACGTGGTATAGCTGCGGCCCCACCGTCTACGACGCCTCGCACATGGGGCATGCGAGGTGAGTCGCCGCCACATCAGCATCAAGTGCTCCGTATCTTATCTACCGCCGACACGCTTTCGTGATTTCAACAGATCTTACATCTCCTTCGACATTCTGCGACGCATTCTGTCCAAATACTTTGGCTACCACATCCACTATGTGATGAACATCACGGACATCGATGATAAGATCATTAAGCGGGCGCGACAGAACCATCTGTTCGAGGAGTATGCCAGCGGGGCGGGGAAGCTGCCGCTGGATCAGCTCCTGGGGCAGCAGAAGGAGGTGCTCGTGCGGTTCCAGGCCACCTGCGCCAAGAACACGGATCCCGACAAGAAGGTGATGCTGGACAAGACCCTGCTGCGAATGAATGAAGCCGTGGAAGCCCTCACAAGGGCCGTGAGCAAAGGAGATGCGAAGGAAATCTCCGAGAAGCGGCAACATTACCTCAACGAAGCTAAGGATCCCATCTCCGAGTGGCTAGACTCGCAAAAGGGCGCCGATATCAACGACAACGCGGTGTTTGAGGCCCTGCCTCGATATTGGGAAGACCAGTTCCACAACGACATGAAATCGTTGAACGTGAGTCATAAATTGAAGCAGCTTTTAAACGAGTGATTCACTCTGGTTACTTATTGCAGATTTTACCACCAGATGTTTTAACCCGCGTCTCGGAGTACGTACCCCAGATTGTGACCTTTATCCAGAAAATCATCGACAACGACCTGGCCTATGCGGCCAACAACTCGGTTTACTTTGATGTGAACGGCTTCGACAGAAGGGAGAAGCATCACTATGCCAAGTTGGTGCCTGAGGCGTACGGCGACACCAAATCCCTGCAGGAAGGCGAGGGCGATCTGTCCGTGGCCGAGGATCGGTTATCGGAGAAGCGCTCGGCCAACGACTTTGCGTTGTGGAAGGCCAGCAAGGCCGGCGAGCCTTGGTGGGACAGTCCCTGGGGCAAGGGTCGACCTGGCTGGCACATTGAATGCTCGGCCATGGCCTCGGACATCTTTGGCCCAACATTCGATATACACACGGGCGGTGTGGACTTGAAGTTCCCCCACCATGACAATGAGCTGGCCCAATCGGAGGCGGCTTTCAACGAGGCCGAGTGGGTCAAGTACTTCCTGCACACGGGTCATCTGACAATTGCGGGATGCAAGATGTCCAAGTCGCTGAAGAACTTTGTTACCATCCAGGAGGCGCTCAAGAAGCACTCGGCCACCCAGCTGCGACTGGCTTTCCTGCTTCACTCGTGGAAGGACACGCTCGACTACTCAGAGAATACCATGGAAATGGCCACGCAATACGAAAAGTTCCTCAACGTAAGTGGGAGATCACCGAGTTCAATTTGAAGCTCAATTTTTCTTTATATTTCCTTTACTTACTATGTAGGAGTTCTTCCTGAATGTCAAGGATCTGACACGCCACGTACTCTCTGAAGAGCCCCGCCGGCAGTTCGATGCATGGACCGAAGTTGAAGCTGCATTGCAAAAGAAATTTGCCAGTTCTCAGGACCAAGTGCATGCTGCTCTCTGCGGTACGTTGCTAGATGCTTCTGCGATGAATATAAACTTAATTTTGAATTATAAACAGACAACATCGACACTCGCAGCGCCCTCGATGCCATTCGGGAGCTGGTTTCCGCCTCTAATGTCTACATCAGGGACAACAAGTCGAGACTGAATAGCCTGCTGTTGCGTAACGTAGCCACCTACATCACGGACCTCCTGCATGTCTTTGGTGCTATTGCCGGACCCCGAGGTGGTATTGGGTTTCCGGTAAACAGCGGCTCTGGTGGACAGACAGCAGGCGCTGATTTGGAAACAACTGTGCTGCCCTATGTGCAAACTCTGGCCGAGTTCCGGAATGTGGTCCGTGAGCAGGCCAAGGCCCTAAAGGCTTTTGACATTCTGAAGCTATGCGACGATCTGCGCGACAATGTCTTGCCCAACTTGGGCGTGCGACTGGAGGACAAGGACGGTGGACAGTTTGCAGTCAAATTGGTTGACCGGGAGTCACTGCTGCGGGAGCGGGAGGCCAAGCTGGCCGCTGAAGCGGAAAAGGCTGCCGAGAAGGAGCGCAAGAAGCAGGCGGCAGCCGAGGCAGCGGCCGCCAAGGAGGCGCAGCGTCGAGTAAACCCCAAGGAGATGTTTCTCGGTGAAACGGAGAAGTACTCGGCATTTGACGAAAACGTGAGTTTTGTGAAATGTTTTCTATTGGTGAGATTTGTTAATATTTTTGTAATGGCATTTATAGGGCCTACCCACTCTTGACAAGGACGGTAAAGAGGTTAGTAAGGGACAAATCAAGAAGCTGCAGAAGCTCCAGCAGCAGCAGGAGCAACGTTACAAAGAGTATTTAGCGTCCGTGAAAGAGGTCGCCTAAGATCAGAGCACCAACCAAGGCAATGATATTAGCTTAGCATTTAAACCATTGTAAAACCTTAATGCAAACCTTAACAATATACAATTTAGATTAATGCAAGAGATTTCAGTTCCCAGCTTAAAGCAGTGGCAATAAAAAAGCACTTTTCTATAATTTAAACGGACTTTAAATTCCTACACAGACTGGTTTCACTTTTAATCAAACTTAAATAAATTGAATGACTTAAAACAATAATTAAATCTAAGTTTTAGCTGCCAGTAAATATATAATATAAATTATTCCGATACTGAATACAATTAATCTCGCTAATTTAACATATATACAAAGTTGTAAAACAATAATCAGTACCTCAACAAGAATAATTAATCTCTTAACGCAAACGAGATCCAACTTAGGGCTCATTTGGCAAATAAACGATTTAATACGCCTTGTGAGCAGATTATAGCTTAAATTTGTCCTAAGAAATATTCGACTGCCACAAGTCTTTGGTATATCTCCTTTCACTCCCCTGGAATGTTTATGGCGCTTACAGGCTGCCAATATCGTTGTAGCGCTTCAACTTGTCCGGGAAATTGTCGCGGAACAGGACAGGATCAGCCCGGAACTCCACCGTGCGCAGTGGCATACGTCCGTAGATCTTGGAGAAGCGATCGATACAGGCTGACCGCTCACGCATGTGATTTAGGTCCGCCGAAAGCATTTCCGTATTGGTGCACTCGGGGCACTTGAACTTCTTACGAGGAGTGACCTTAATCGGAGGATTGTTGGTTATATTTGCCACCAGGAAGTTCATGGCAATATCCTCGCAATTCATGTGCTCATCCACCCAGTCCTTGATGTCGCCGGGCATGGCATGTGTGTACATGTGGCTCCAGTACTTGTGATGGAAGGCGGCACCTGTTAACACCATGGATATCTGGTTAGTCCATTCCGATTCGTAATGCCAGCGCATGGTGACGTTATCCCAGACATGAATGCGGCTGGGGAAGCCCACAATGTGGTCGGGAAACTCTCGCCAAACCTCGTAACTAAAGGTCAAAATGGTTAGTTTTAAAATCTCAGTGATTTCAAATTGATTTACCCAAAATCCAGCTCATCTGTAGTTAGCATAATGATGTCATCGTCTATGGTTAAAATAGCTTCAGTTTCGATTTCTGGATATGGATAGAATCGATTCGACAACTTGTTCTCCTTGGTCTGCCGAATCTTCAAAGGCTTGGATATGGATGGAAAGGTTGACACTAAAGAGAAATCAACAGTTGGCATTATCCAAAAAATGATCTATATTAAAAAAAAGTAACTCACAGTGCGGTGGCGACTTCTTCTGATTGTTCCATATGACCAAGATGCTTTGCAATGAGGGAACCACGGCCAGCTTTTGGATGAGCAAGAACAGACTCTCCACGCGATCGTAGGTGAGGATGACGGCAGTAAAACCTTGGGATTTCGGCGCCAGAGAAGGTAGAAAGAGTGGATTGAAGGTGGAGCGCGCATTTGTGTCGATGGCGTTCCACTGACGACTACTTCGGGCACGTAGCGGAAAGATGCGACTTTCGAGCACCTCCAGTGCCGTCAGCGTCACAGTCTTCAAATCCCTAAAGTACTTGGAGAATAGCCACTGGACTTGCTTCTGCATCTCAACGATTTTGACATTGGAAATTGCCTTCAGCTTCTGCATCACGGAATGCAGCTCCGACTCGCGAATGCGTACAGAGGCCAAGGACCAATCGATCACATCCTCAAAGGGCAGTACATAGTTATCCACGGCAATGACTGGAACGCAGCCCTGAGACATCATCTCCACCAAATCCGGCTGGCCCATGCGAAGGCTCTTGGCCAGAAGGCAGAATTTACCACGCGAGAGGAGACGTGGGTACTCCAGGGACTTGTGGTGCTGCGACAGAGGGCATCGCAGTGAGAGATCCATGCTCTCGCATGCTCCCAGAATTAGCATTTGCTCGCTGTGGGCAGAAGACAGCTCCCGCAGGCCTCGCAAGAAGCGTGGGAGAATGTTTAGCTGTGCAACCACCAAGAGGAACTTCCTCTGGGCCGTGGCATGGACATGCTGATGTACCAGGCGCGGACTCCACACCGGAATAGAGACGTCAAAGCCTGGTCGATATGACCAAGAGTCGAAGCCGCCGCCAAAGATTATGGCATTGTCCGTGTTCACATCCAACACAGTGTTATACGACGGAGCCCCACCGGGCAGCATGTTAAAGATGATATGGTTGGCGCCGCGATCCCAAAAGTCCAGGGAGGCCAGGGCGGCGCCTGCCAGGTGCTTGTCAAAGACATTCTGGTTGAGCAAATCCAAACTGGGCAGGAAGAGGCATGCCTCGTTGGGGTTCGAAGTGTAGTAGCGACTCTTCAGCACGGCCTCCAGGATCTGAAAGTACTCGCTGGACAAGGTGGCAGCCACCTTGTCGCTCCGTTCGTCCACAAACTCCTGCAGCGGATAAATGTAGACCTTCAGACGGTCATGCTCGCACTTGTAGATGTTCAGGCAGTCCCAGAAGGTGCAGTTCACGTTCCGTGCCCGCTGTTCGGCCTCGGGGTTCAGTCCCACCTCCTGGATGTGCTCCAGGTCCAGGATAAGCGTATGAGTATCCCTTTTTCCATGGAAGAATCCGTCCCGCGGGTTGTTGTTGGAGAGATCCCAGAGCAGGAAGCCCGCGCACAGGGCCACAATAACCAGAAGGCCATAGGTGAGGCAGTTGAGGATCTGCTCCTTGGGATTCGAGTGCGAAATGCCCCGCGACTGGGTCACAAAACTCAACAGATACTTTAATTTGTTCATTTTAACTCCGATTTCTGCATTTTGTTTTCACGGAACGAAACAGTGTGGCCGCACTGCAGTCGCAGTGTTGGAAAATGTCGAAAATGCGTATGGCTGGGATTTAAAATAGTTCTATTTATTATTTTCTCGTAAGAACACTCATTTTTACTGCCATCGTACTCTTTATTAGCTTTAAAACAATAATAAATATAAGTTACACAAGTCCAGTTGCCATTAGGTTGCTCTTTTCTCAATTTTGGAAAGATTGTATTTACAAATCGGCATCAAAACAGAGAGCTACTTATCCTGCTTCAGGGTAACGCTGTGTTTCGTTGCCTTGATATCGCAACTGGGAAGATGTTTCTTGAGATTGGCGGAAACTGCCTCCATATTGTCGACAAACATCATGTCGAAGATAATGAGCTGCCGTAAGTTCTTTAGCTGCGCAATCACAGCCAGTCCAGAATCTGTGATGTTGTAGCAGCCGGACACCTGGAGTCGGACCAGGGAGCTGCTGATGTGGTGCAGTCCCTCCAGCCCGTCGTTCTCCAGGTGCTTGCAGTTGTGGAAGATGACGGTGTCGATGCACTTGCAGTTCTTGAGGTGCTCCAACCCGATTTTCATGATGGAGGCATTCGAGGCATCCACCACTTTGATCTCGAACGGGGTGTTCTCTCCCGGCAGCGAGTTGTAGTCCTTCCACAGCCTGTTGGGACTGCCCACGAAGCGAACTCCGCCTCCGTTCTTTATAATCCATTCTGCACACAGCCGGTTGGGACCCACCTTGCCCAACCGCTCCGCATCTACCTGGTTGAAGGCGATGGCCACATAGCCCCAAATACCGCGGTCCTTCGGCTTGGGCTGGAGCAGTGCTGGCTTGAGCTGTCCTCTTGAATTAAACCTTGGAAGCAACCTGCACAGTAACGACATTTCTCGGACCGATCAGCTGTAACCGCCGAGTGTTGTCCAACACTCTTCGGGGCTCAACACAATTTTAACACTTTTTAAAATCGAAACCCATTTTGATCTCCGATTTATGGCATTTTGACATTCTGAGCATTGTTTTTAATGCTTTTTGTTTAAAAAGCCGTGTTCAAAAATAGTTTAGAGTGACCATCCACCGATAACTTCTGAAAAAAATCTATGCTCATTCTGTCTTCCTACATGTAAATTGGTTTTCTAGACGTGTAAGATTTAAAATGTTAAGCAACAGCTTCGAAATGCAGAGTTACCAAATAAAAATGATCGAAAAATACAAATAATCAATTATCTTATATTGGTATCTTGATAAACTTTCATCACCCGAGAGAGAGTTCTGTTAATTAATATCCACGCGACAGCACCCGAGAGAGAAGATAGCAGATCTGTAAATGAATTTTACATTCTACATGAGAATTTTACTCTACGTATGAGAGTTCTACCCCAAAAGTGAGAATTTGACCCCATGTATCTGGAAGTCAAATGGCTATCTGGACGTGAAGGATGTAAAATGTTAAGCAACCGCTTCGGATTTCAGAGTGACCAGCTAGCAACACCGACATTTTGGCAAACACCACGAAAATATATTCGGGAAAAACTAAAATTCTCAAATCAAAACTGTTCAAATTTTTGTCCGTGCGCGTTGTTGTTGCTCCTCAATTAACTAAAAACAAACGGAACACGGAAAACGAAAAACAACTAACTAAAGTTAGCTGAATCGACCAGTGCAAAATCAAATCGGTTCCAGAGGCCGTGGCAATTACCGCGAAGAAATCACAAATGTTCTAAATGCGAGTGTGTGTGAACATAAAATCTCGGCAATAACAAAAACATGCATATGCTGCGGTTGCGATTAAAACGCCAGCTAGTCTTTGTTTTACGTGCTTGATAAGTGAACAAATTGTGGGATTAGAACAAAAGTGACCACGGGGCGGCAAACAAAATAGCAATAAATACAGTAAATCCCGTATCGTATTGGATCTCCTTGTTACGTTGTCAATGAGTGCGTCTGTGTGTGTGTGTGCCAGTGTGTGAGCTTGCCGCCACCGCAATTGAAGAAAAACACACCAATACCGAGGCGGCAAATAAAAATAAGCTGTGCCCGTGTGCGTGCCGTGCCGTATCGGTGTGTATTCGAGCCAGTGACGTCGACGGCGGCAGCATCGAATCGAACGTGTTAAAGTGACGAATAAACAAGCGAGCCAGGAAAGGGGGAAGCGCAGGAGGAAATCATCGCATCGGAAGAGATAGACAAACAGAATCAGACAGCCAAACATTTGTACATTTCCTTCGCACATCTGTATATGTATACACGACGACGTACGTAATAGTTTGCCGCCGCAGACATTAAGGCTCTGTGCTCCCAGTCGCCCTGGCCCGCTCTCGCCGACTTGTTTACACGAACGCCCACACCTCGCCCCCGCCTGCGCCCTTATCCGCTGCTGCTGGCCTTTGGAATAGGTGAGTAAATGCCGCATTCCGCCCGCTGCCTAATTAAGTTAAAAATTGACTTTTGCCAAATTGCGGTGTCCGTTCACTTCCCTTGCTCCGTTTTGGTGCGGGTTCTGGCTCTATTGCTACAGTGGAGCCTGCAGAGCACGAATTTTTAATTGTGTCTCCATAGGGTTTATAATTTTAGTCAGAAGCTTCTTACGCTATGAAAGAGTCTTTTCCGAACCCATAAATCATATATATTCTTGATCAGCATGAACTGGCGAATACATTAATTCCATATAACAACTATCTTTGAAGTTTTAAGTTTCTATAAACTTAAAAAAGGAGTTTCAGCTGGAGTTTGTGTGCAGAATTTGACTGTATTTATGTTTTCTATTCTCCTCTATAACTCCAAAGGCACCCAGCGGGGCCTATATGCAAAAGATGAATGATATACAGGCCCGGCCATGTTAGATGATAAATGGCGCGCTATATTAAATGATTTATTTCTCTCTTTCTCTATGGCTCCCCCGAGTTCATTGTGCCTCCAGATCTGTATAGATCTTGAGATCTCTCCTCCCCGAGGGCTAATCTGTAGTATCTCGCACACAGATTTGTGGCGTAGATTTGAGTTGAGTCGAGTTCAGTTGAGGTAAATTGCTGCCAGCACAGCACACGCGCCCACAAAAGGGGATTCAACAAAAGAATTCTGACCATTTAAGACTGGAAATGGACAACTAAATCCATCAATCAATTTAAAACAATTTAAAGGCCCCAAAAGTAGTCTTAAAAAGCATTAAAAATGGATATTTAAAGTCTAGGAACTAATTTACAAAAAGAACTAAGGTTTCATTGTAAAATATATTCCTCAAAGTATTTTAACATTGTTAACTTAAATCAGTTTAAACAACTTCTGCTAGCCTAGATGGTTTTAAACGATTTAATGTTAGTTTACTGGGAAAAGCACCCATTACCTATGCTAAATAAGTATTAAAAGCTTAAATCGTTTTCTTTGTATTTGGACTTTATTGCATCTGGTTTTGCCCTTCAATTTAAATTAAAAAAACCCGCCCACAAGTCGCTATAGATTTGACTAACACCATAATCTTTCGGATATCCCCTCATATAATATAGTTTTGTAGCTTTTTATCCATTCTCTAGCTATTCCCATGCTGAGTCAACCAACTGTCATTTCCTCAATACCAGTCCGTTGTTTGCCGTTTGATTTTGATTGTATTCCGCTTGAAATAGTCGCTGAATCGTAATCGTTTCCATTGGTTCTAATAACTTTCCAGCAGCAGCCATTTCTAAAATAATGCTTTTTACACTCTTTTGTTGTTTTCGCTTTGTGCCAGTTATTCCTCGCCCAGTTGCTGCTGCTATCGAATTGTTGCCATTTTTTCAGTTTCTGCCATTTCTGTTTTCTAATTAGTTATAATTACACTTAATGCAATTTAGTTATGAGGTTCTGTTTCTGTGCCCACATTCGTGAGCTCCTCAGCGTCAACGTCAGCCCCAGCCTCAGCCTCAGCCCGTTGTTCGTGCCGTTTCCATTTTTGCATTTATACATTTTAACATTGATGGGGGATTTTATGATTAGTGCAACTAGTTCGTGCTGCCTGCATTTTGACCGGGCTTTCTGTTACAAGGGCCGTCGAAAATGGAGAGGAGAAGAAGTAGTACCAGTCCCCGGGGTAGGACGCGATTGGGCACACACCGAGCACAGCATCGGACACCAGGCGTTGATGCAATTTGTAGCTGTAAGATTCGACTTGGCCCGATAAGTGAGCCGGCAGCTGGAATTTTTCCCCCCATTTCCATGGCATTAGGTTCCATGGCCCTATGCCCCCAGAGAGACAGCAATATCGAGATTATGTGGTCATATTTCTTTTATCCACTATTTTAAGTATATTTCGATTAACTTGGCGTGCTATTTGCTTAGATATTTTAAAATGTTTGGTATTGAAACATATCTTAAGCTGCTGACTTGATTAAATGCTTAGGAAACTGTTTAAATGAGACGTACATGTGTATATTAGCATGGCTTCAGGAAACCTCCTTTGCTTTTCCCACTTGTTGAACTATTTTCAAATTATTCCAAACGATTCCTTTCATTTCCAACAAATCCTCAAGCGTTTCATTAAAACCCATCAAGACTAAGCACCAGAAAGAGGGTAAAATGGATGCAGAGCTTAGATTTTCATACCATACCATAATATATATTATAAGAAAAAGCTATGCACCGGCCAAGAGTGAGGTGTGAATTCTAGTTAAATTCAGTATCACCTCCGCATCATATGCATATGAGCTGCAATTTAAGCCGTAGATTATATCAGGTGGTCTCATAAATAAATGCATTTAATGCTCCGCTGGTTCGGCTGGTTGGAGATGGGGTTCTTGGGCTTGGTTTGGATGGGTTGGTGTTGGTCTTGGCCCTGGGGAACTGGGAACTGCAATTGCCGCAGATGGCGAACCGAACCATACCGACTTGACCATGGCATGTCGCTTGTCTCACGAAAGCATCTCCCAATCCCCAAATGATGGAGTCGGCAAAAGCTGAGGAAGCTCCGGCACCAGCTACGGCACCAACTCCAACTACAGCTTCGGCTCCTCATCATTAGCAATTTGAAATGCACTCGAAGTGTTCGGGAAGAGCGAGATCGGAGGAGAGAGATGCCGGGGCTGCGAGTGTATCCAATTATTTCAGCATTTTATGGCGTAAATTTCCTTAAACCCAAACCATTTTTCAACTGAAACGAATCGCGAGAAGAACAGAAAGAGACCCAGGAAAGAATAACGTATGCAGGTTCCCCCGTTACCAGTCCCAGTCCCAAAAGGAGCAAAGCTCCACGGCAGCTACAAATCTTAAAAAGGCATCAAGATTATTGCACAGAAAAATTCTTTTCTTCACACCTCGGCCAGACAGCCCAACGTCGTCGTCTTTGCTCCTCAAAGGTCTGCCATGAAAACAACAAAAAATAAGAAGAAAATAAACGAAAAAAATGGACAGAATAAGGAACTCAAAGAATTAAATGCGACTTCAAAGAAAGGTAAAGCAGCAGCGGAGCACACGGACAAGAAATATGGTCAAAACGAAGCTACGTCGAGGGCCAACACCGCCAACAATGGACATCATGTGCAACAACAATAAAAACCAATTTAAGCCGACGACCAAGCGAGCGACTTGAAGTGTGTGGCAGGAGTGTGAGGCATACACCATGGGATACACAGTAAAAAATATCATATCATTAGGAGAATCTAAGGGAATCTCCCTTAGATATAAATCGAAAGTCTTAAGAAAAGTAATAATTTTGATAAAAAGCTTAAAAGAAATTAGTGAACTTTAAGGTTGAATTCATAAACTTCAGATGGTAATATACTTGATTTAGCTTCACCTTAGAATGTATTAATTTTTCCCTGTGTACATATGGTGTGGAGTGCGGAGGATTCCTCGTGGGCTTACCTTCTTGTCGGCTTTCGTTTAACTGACGTCTCCGAACACCACAACAGCCACAGCCACAACCAGCGATGGCAACAACGCATACACACAATCAGTTTCAGAAATCAGATTCGGTTCGAAGTTGAATAGTTTTGCTGCTCGGAATTATGTGTGTCCGTATGTATAGATCGTATGCGGAGTATCTTTGT